GTGGTGTTGTAGAGGTGAAGAGTCATCCCCAGCACGTACTGCGATCTCTGGACATTACACTAAACCTGTTTAAACCATTTCTGCTTAAATACAAAGATCTGAGGCATGCGAGGGCTCATCTTAACTCCTTGAAGGTCAATTTAGCTAATTAGCATTAGACCCTTGCCCTAGCCTCAGTGTCCAGATGGAGCATCAGGATTAGTACATTCATCAGAAACCTGCCATTTCCAGGCCTATACATATCTACTGCCCTCTAGTGGAGGATCTACAGGCTTTGAGAGTCCGTTACATAATAAAATAAAACAGATTGTTTATTTACATTTGAAAAAAAAAATAGAAAACAATTATTGTTTCAGATTTCAGGTTCTAGAAGTATACTGCTCGTTCCATAGTAGAGTTACAGGGGGCTGCTAATAACTACAGCAGCTGTTAGACAAGAGGTGTGGGACACCCTGGACAGGTCCAGTCCATCACAGAGACACAGAGAGACAAACCAATCACACACTCACACATACCTAGGGACAATTCAAAGTCTCCAATAAACCAAACAGGCATTTATTTAGTCCTTGGAAGGAAACCAAAGTACGAGAGTGACAAGAACATGCTGTCTCCATCCAGAAAGGTCCCAGCCAGAATCGAACCTACGACCTTCTCACCACGAGGCAACCCTGCTACGAGCTACAGCTCTATGTTCTATGCTGTAGGTCATTAAAGCCCTTGGTTGACTGGTTGCTTGTTTGCTGATGAAGACGACCACTGGATCGTCACTTTGTCTTTGATTGATCAGGAGAAAATGAATACATGGAGACTAATAATGAACCAATAGCTTGGGAGAAAAACACAAGCATGACTGAAACTGGTGTGTGTGTGTGAGGAAGGGAGGGAGGGAGCGTGGGTGGGAGTTTGTGCTGGATGAGCTCCCAGGTGTGTTGTAAGAGGGCAGCCTGCTGCCTGAGGAGATGTTCGACTCGACGGCGGAGAACCAGAGGGATGAATGAAGGAATATCTGTTCATTGCTCCTCTGGCTGACTGCAGGGTGTTCACATGCACGTTTAGGCACGTGCGCACACACTCAGTCTCAGAAATCAGTGGAAAACGCTGGGCTGGGTCTGACGCGGTGGAGGAAACTCCAAGACTGGAGCATGTTCACCATAATCACATAAGACTGGAACAGATCCAGCTGCAGCAGAGCGAGGGGGAGGGAGATCCTAAAAATACGGATCAGTCTGTTGAGAGAAAGAGAAGCAAAGCGAAAATAAAGAGGGGATTGGATGTAGAACAGAGAGGAGGAAAAAGAGAGAGAAAGAGAATGAGTTTTGGGAAAAGAGAGGATGCTAAAAATGAGGACGAGCTGCGACAGAGACCAAGAGAGCAGCAAAGAGAAAGTACAGAAGGTGGAGTCACGAGTCAATGATGGAAAAAATAAGACAGAGAGGGAGAGCACACCTCGGAGCAGGTTCAGCCAGGAAGGAAAAAAGGGTTTTAGCCAGATTAAAGACGCCAGGCGGGCCTCTTAAGACCATCCGCCTAATGAAATATGTCAAAGCCCATAAAGAAACAGCCAGGCCATTTAGGGAGGCAGGCGGGGGTGTCGGGCGGGATAGGGCGCAGGAAGCTGGGCGAATACTCTGCATCAGCAAAAATGAAAAACACGCTAAGGCCCTGTCAATACGCATTAGCCCAGACGTCGGGCGGAGCAGAGATGAAAAGAAAACGCAGGAAGAAATGGATGGCTTTATTTATCATGGGCCCTGGAAATACGGGAATAATGATAACTAAGAGGGAGAGGGTGGAGCTGAGGCCACTTGTGGGAACGCTGAGCACGGGGAATTTGAGTTCAGCACGGCGCCATTTATATTCCACAGGAGGAACCATTTCTGGGCTGCTGCAGGTGGATTTAAGGAGACCTGAGGAGTTCAAACTAGAACGCTGTCCACGATGAACGCAACCATCAAATTCTAGAGAAAGCTCATCAAGAATTCGTTCTCCATCTTTGGTTTTACTGGAACTCCTGTGTAAACGCACACCAGAGAGGTCTTTCTCTGAGTTATAAACACCTGCTCTTCCCGACTATCAGAGAGCACTTAGATCTGACACCGAGTCTAAAACAGCAACATCTATATGCCAGGTTACCTTTAAGAAGACATTTCTCACGTAAAATGAAGCAGAACTGAGTGCAAACAAATAACAGGAGCAATTGTGATGTAATACCCGCTGCTGTCAGCAGAGTGAGGATTGGGCGCTGTGAGCTTTCGGACCTGGATGGCTATAAAGCAGCAAGAGCTCGCACTCTAAGTGCTTCACAACTCAGGGTTGTCAGTCCGGCGTTGGAGGGAAGCAGAGCTCCAAGGAAAGGGACGATAAAGACAAGCTCAGAAAAATGAGCTGCCATAAAGGAAAGAAAATATCTTGGGAAACATGAGGAAAAACTGATTAAATGAAATATGAGAAACAGTAATCAGATTGGAAATAATAAGGAAAAATAGGAGATGATCGTTAAAAAGTGTAACAGTTGAGATTAGAACAAATGAAAAGGAGGAAATGACATGAAAAAACATTTAATAGGAAATAAAGGAGCTGGGGTGAATTTAGAAAAGTGAGATGGCTTTTCTCAGTAAAAGAGGCTGTGAGTTTTAACTTATTTTCAGTTACAATTTACAATTAAATAAACACGAGACGTTCATCTCACCATAAGAAGAAGAATTTTCTAAAGTCTGGATTTGTGCCATCCACACATGTAGAACTAGTGAATTTCAACTTACTGAGCGATGAAACAACATTATTCACACAAAGTACAAATACCTAAGGCCCCAGTACAGAACCCTGTGGAACTCCACAGGTAACTTGTAATATCTGGCAGAGTATTGTTAAACTTTACAAACTGAAATCCATTATTTGAGTAAATCTTTATCCAAATTGTGTTGTTTAATTGTTCAGATAACGAGGAAAAAAAATGAAACAAGTTAATTAACGAGACAAAACAATCACATGAAAAATAAGGAACAAAATTAGATAAATTGAAAGTAAGATGCACAAAAATGAGAATATGGACTAGAAAAAATATTAAATATTCAAAATGCTGGATTTTTACGATGGGACAACATTTTAAAGGTGGTGAAATGATCATTTAAGTCCAGGCACGGTTTATTTAGTTAGCAACTAATAATGCCAACAGCCGTTACTCCAAAGTGCTGAACTTTGGCAGAAAAATAGAAGCATTAACAACACAAAAGCCATCTAAAAGTTACAGAAAAATTTAAGCCACAGACAACCAAGCCAAAATGCATACTATAAGTTATAAGAATATAAAACATCAATTAGATTCAAAGCGTAAAACATAAAAGGAAGGCTGCAGCCACTTGGTTAGTGCTAAAATGCCAAAGCGAATCTTGACATTCTTTAAAAGAAGCCAAGGAATCAGCGGTTTTCCCATCCCGGGGAAAACTGTTCCACAGGACAGGAGCCATTACAGAGAAAGTTCTAGCACCTCTAGTATGTGTCGCTAGTAGATGGAGATCTGTCGATCTAAGCATCCTGGACGGAGAATACGGCTCGATAAAGTCACACAAATATGAGGGAGCCAAACCATGCAGACGTCTAAAAACTAGCAGCAATATCTTAAAATCAGTCCTGAACTTAACAGGAAGCCAGTGAAGATCTTCCAGCACAGGGGTGATATGATCACATTTTCCCATTCCTGACTGTGGGATGAGTCTGAGGAAAGATCTCCGAGGTTACTGTTTTGATTAAACAGTGCAGTAGATGACCCAAAGGCGATGACCTCAGTCTCTCTCTCTCTCTCTCTCTCTCTCTCTCTCTCTCTCTCGCTCAGCTTAAGATTTAAAAGGAATCCATTTAGATTATATGGAAATAAACGGATGAGAAAATGACAGAATGAAGTAAGACAGGAAATGATGAAAACCGAAAGAAGAAATTAGACAAAACATTAAAAACTAGAGACCAACCAATATAGACATTTTTTTCTATATCGGCCAAAATTGTTTCTAAAAGCCGATTAAGAAAATAATAAGATCATGCACCTGTGTGGCCAACCTCCTGCACTACTAGACTGAAGAAAGGACCCAAAGAACCCAAACACACCATTTTTTAAAAATGTTTTCAGCTTGTTTTATATGAGAAGTTCAATAACTATTATGAGATTTATCGACTTATTTCATTTATATTGCACACAGTGAGTGTTCGGTTGTCTTTCACAATCAATGTGCTGCTAAAACATGCACACACACACACACACACACACACACACACACACACACACACACACACACACACCAGCCTTAATAATAGGCTTTAGATATTGGCCATCGGCAACAAAATTCTTTAAAAATCGGTATCGGCATTGGCCTAAAAAACAACCATATTGGTTGCCATCTTTTCAAAACTCTAAATTGAATTAAAATAAATAAAACATGAGCAAACAAGAAATGAGGGAGCATCAAATTCTATGAGATGAAATGATGATACAGCAAATTTAAAAAGAAACAAACTTTAAACATGGGATCAAATGAATAAATGAAACAATTAGATGAGAAAATGAAAAAATCATGACTTAATGCTATAATTGAATATGAACAAATGAGGACCAGATGAGATAAAATCAGGAAAAATGTTGAAAAGTACATGATCCATAATGAAATGATTCCAATAAAAGTGACAAAAATTTTAAGTAGGAAAATTAGATGAAATCAAGCAAAAAATTGAGAAACTGAGATGAAAATTTTTGGATTTGGCCAAATAGGGAAAACATGAGAGTTTAATCAGAAATTAGATAAAATAATAAGATCCGTTTAAAATGAAAAATCGCTTGACAATTAGAAAAGAGAACGAGAAACTTTCTACACCAAGTCTTTCGCTGCTTCAGCATATGCATTACATGCTAAAACAAAACTAGACTGCATCTTTTGTAATAACATGTCCAGGATATTAAAAATATATTTATTCCAATTCATGCAGAAGGATTAAGATTTTATCAAACTCACCTTTATTCCACGATCCAAGGTTGCTCTCATCGGCCACTAGAACAGAAGAAAGCGCCACAATCACACACTTACCTTCTAATATACATGAAATACGTTCTGAAGAACAAATCAGGTCGTTCCTGTGCGTCGTGTCACCTCATAAATGGTGTACTGGTTCGTAATGGAAACGGGGTATTTACTGGAAATGAATGTGGAGGAAGACGCACCGAGAGAGGAAATGAAAAAGAAGCTAAATATCAGAAAAGCAGCAGAAAGATTGGGATTGTGGGAGAGAATGAGAACAGATAAAGAGACAATGAGAGAAACAAAAAAAAGATGAGAAATCTCCAGAAAAAGACCTGCAGCAGCCACCAAAGCAGTGCATTATGGGATACAATCATGGGTCTTCATTCTTCTCTTCCCCCACAGATTTATGAGTCAGATAAAAGGAGAAACAGATGTGTCAGAATAAAAGAAGTAAATAAAGTTTAATCAACAGCAGTAAAAGTGGCTGACTTGAGGAGGAAATAAAGTTCCTGTGAACGATGAAATAAAAATTTAAACTTTCAAAGTTTCAGAGATAAAGTTTTCCAGGCCACTTGACCCCAGCAGATAATAAAAAACACTTTGGTTTCTGTAAAGATAAAAGTCAGCATGGCCAGCAGCAGAGTTGCTGCTCCAGTGTAAAATCCCGCTTAAACCGGTTCAATCCACTTATTCCCTCCGTTACAGGATGTCTGCACAATGCTGTGCAGTTTTACTATCCTGCAGAAGTAACTAAATTATGATGCATTTAGGACTCAAGGTGGAAGATAGAGAAGGGAGGAAAGGGACGGACATGAAAAATTTTTACAAAAATTTTCTGGCTTGTATATACATATAGTAATAAGCCCAAAATTTTCTCATGTTTAGTTAATTCTGTCATCCTTACTTTGCACCAAATTTCATATGTGTTAGCATTTTGGCTAATTAATCACTGGAATTAGCTTAGAATTTTCAACTTTTGCATTTGATTTATAACAACCTCTTTTACAAACCTTTTTTACAATATTGCTCTTCACATACTGATGGCAACTAATAGATTTAATCTTTTGTCAAAAAATTATTAATCTGAATCAAATTGGAAACGTACGATCCTGGAAACACCTCATCCAGTCATAGAGAATGTCCTGTTCTCTTCTCTATGTGCACAAATTGCACGTTCTCGGCTGAAGAAGTGACGCCAAAGGCGGGCTAGCTTTATTAGCTGGCATACAAACTAGTTACGCAGTTGTGTGGGTAAGTTGCTTTAGCTGCCTATATGTTAATAAGATAAGTTAACGTTATGATTTAATGGTTTTTGACAGTAGACGTTGAGACTGGCATTCTACTGCATTTGGGAGGCGTGGCTTAGGGAGGGGCCTAAGAAATGGGCTGGACCTTGGAAGTTTGTATTTTCAAAATGCAGCATGTTCGAAAAGCTTTTCCAGGAACTTCTACCTAAAGGTTTGAGTCCATTTTTAAAATGTAACTAATCATTCTGCACAAAAGAAAGAAATCAGTCAGAATGCAAAGAGCAGATTAGAGGCTCCAAAGTCCTAAAAGGTCTGCAGTTTCCATCCACTTTAGCATCTTAAAGATCTATAAAGACTATTTTCTAGAGTTTTAAATGCATTAGAGAGAAAAATGAATGCTTCCTGTGAGGACTTCTTTAAAAGTTTGAGTTGTATTTTATTTTTTGGTCATCTGAACGTGGGGGTTATTACAGAATCCACCTTGACGAGAGCAGTCGGAGGACTTCTGTGTTTGAGCTTAAACTCTGAGTCAACACACAGTTTGCCAAGGCACCGAGGGTCGCCTCCTCCTGTCAAGTGGTGTTTAATAAAGAGCTAACCTGCTCCATGCTGAGACTCCGGCTCAGACACATGTGACTGCCGTCTGGACCTCTGCTGAGGCGGAAAAACACATTTGTCTCCTTAAATAAAACCCGTCCTGCTAGGGTCGAGGTCCGAGGTCGTGTGTGTGTATCACAGCTCCTAGCATCTTTACACAAGCACGCACACAAAGCTCCACTAACCACCTTATTTCATCTCCGAGTACTTTAGAAAGGAAATTGTGAATGGAACCGGAGAGATAACAGAAAAAACGAAAGATTGAAATGGAGAAAGGCCAGAGATGGAGATAGAAGCCTAGAGGGGTGACGGATAGTGGTGAGGACTGGAGTGGGTCCTCGGAGGGATGGAGCGTAGAGGATGGGTGTGTGTGTGTGTGTGTGTGTGTGTGTGGCGGCGTGTGCAGACCACCCTTGTCCATAATGAAAGCCAATCAGCTTGGGTGGCAGAGGGGTGTGCTGCAGGAAGAAAGCCAATCCAGTGAACCTAATGAACCGGGATTGGAAATCAGACAGAGGCAGAGGAGAAAGAAAGGAAGAGTCAGAGAGCGATGAAGTCATCCGCAGAAAATCAACAAGCTGAAAGCAAAAGAGATAAACAAAGATGAAGGAAAGGCCAGGAAACTGGAATAAAAGCAGAAAGGGAGAAGCACCAGTGCTGATGTTATCAGAGGAGAAACACAACTGTGGAAGGAGGGGAAAGAAGGGAGGAAGGGTCAGTTTGGGTTAATACGAGGAAATCAGCCCCTTCGTTCTCACCTTCCACGCACACAAACCTCATTCACTCTCAAACACAGAGGGCGCACACATCTGCACGCACACCAGACAGCGTGTTCTCCCAGCTGGATGGAAAGCCCCCGAGCTTAGGGGTTCAGGAGGTCACCCCCCCTCCGGGATAATAGTAAGGGAGCACATATCACAACAAAGAAATGTACTGATAAGAAGCATGTGATCGCTGCTGCTGGCTGAGATGAAACCTCCGTGTTATAGAGTCTATGGATGGGAGCTGACGAGGTTTGTTTGTGACTGCAGCTCACCCATGTCCATGCATTTGGACGTTCTGTTGCGAGGCACGTCGTCCTCATCGCTGATAAACCGGCGGTTTGGGTAGACGGCTGCAGGCATGTTGGGAGGCTCACTGCAAAAACAGCAACGCATTACTGAGAACCGCTGAACAGCAGACGTCGTTGACCAAGTCAGAAAGAACAGATGATCTCATTTCCTCCAATCAAGACTCCATAAAACCATTTCGTGTACCATTTCCATTCAAACCTACAGAAACGTAGCCTGGCCAGCCGTCCTATAGATGTGAGTAGATAGTCTGGCCACTGCCCGTTAACGGCCCTGTCACGGGGCGGGATCTACGGTTGTTGTTCAAACTGTCTCTGCATACTATTGGACAACAAACAACATGACATACTCACTGCTGCAGATGTTAGTCAGCAGAGTAGTCCGTCGTACACCATCGAAGAAGACGCAAATACATCCTTTTTCTAAATAAACTTAAGTACCTCTGTCTGCTCTTGACTCAAAGAATCCGAAGTTGATGGCAACGCCTTTCAAACAAGCCGTCCCCGTCCTTGTTTCACTCAGTCGCAGTAACACCCCGCCCATCAAACCGATTAAGCGCTGTGATTGGAGCAGCACTAGACAGTCCGGGGCTGCAGCCATTCTAAAGGAGCGTGGCTAGACCGGCATGCAGAGCTAAATTATGTTAGGCTGCCAGAAACTCATACAGAGCTCAACTTCTGCACCAACCAGATACAGATTGAATGAACTCATTTTAATCAGAAAAACTGTATTTGGTGACCAAAATGTCCACAATCTTTTACACGCCTGGCCTAATTTAAGCCCCGAGTTGGGTTTAGATCTTTAAAGAATAGAAACAAAGTAGTAAAATGGTCGTTTAGGAGGATTAACTACTTTCACAAGATGCATAAATAAGATAGCGGTCATTTTTAACCCTTTAATGTTCACACGCTATTTATTATATAGTCAATATGTTTATTTACCTGAAATAAATGAACAAATACGAAACTTCTATGTGGAAGACTGATGACTGTTGGTGTGAATTAATATGTCGTTCACAGAATGAGGACAGTGCTGAGACTTTTTCATTGCTGCCGTCGGTGCATTTACCAACGGAAAAAAGCGTCAGATTTTTGAATTTCACATTAGCTAAATTAGGAAACAGTGATCAAAGTGTCTTGATTTGGAAAAGCGTAGAATTCCTTCTCCGGGTCAGGGATGAGGTCCAGCCCTACGTGGAGGAGTTTAAGCATCTCAGGGTCTTGTTCACGAGTGAGGGAAAACTGGAGCGTGAGATTGACAGGCGGCTTGGTGCTGCATCTGCAGTGATACGGGCGTTGTACAGGTCTCTTGTGGTGAAAAGAGAGCCGAGTCAGAAGGAGACGCTCTCGATTTACCGTTCGATCAAAGTTCCTACCCTCACCTATGGTCACGAGCTTTGGGTAGTGACTGAAAGGAGATCACGGATACAAGCGGCCAGAAAGAGTTTTCTCCGCAGGGTGGCTGGGCTCTCCCTTGGAGAATGGGTGAGAAGCTTGGTCATCCGGGAGGGGCTCGGAGTAGATCCGCTGCTCCTCCACGTCGAGAGGAGCCAGTTGAGGTGGTTCGGGCATCTGGTCAGGATGCCTCCTGGACGCCTCCCTGGTGAGGTTTTCTGGCCACGTCCAACCGGGAGGAGGCCTAAAGGTAGACCCAGGACACGTTGGCCAGGGAACACCGGAGGAGCTGGCCCAAGTGGCTGGGGAGAGGGAAGTCTGGGCCTCTCGACATAGGCTACTGCCCCCGCGACCCGACTCCGGATAAGCGGGCGGGCGGACGGATGGATGATTAAAGTGTCTGTCAGACATTAAACATCTGTTTAAGACTCAGTCTTACAACAACACTTCAACAGCAATTTTGTTGTTATCTTTAAAATTCGCCACACCAGGATTTAACAATATGAAAAGGTTGCATAGTCTGGCTTTAAGACCCTACCTCATTACCAACCTTAATACAATTCTACATAACCAGCAGGATGAATACTGGAACCTAAAGGCCCTCTAGTGGCTGGCTGAAGAACCAATTCTAAGTCCCGCCCCCTCCATGTGAATTAATGGCACCTGGCTACAAAATTACACCTGAAATAATTCATCTAGATTTCGACGTGTTTATTTGAACAACAGAAGTAAGTGGACCGTCTTCTTTTATGTAAGATTACATCAGAAGACAAACTCACCAGGGGGTTGATCTAAGTACAGCAAGTGCCAATTTTATTATTGTCTCATTATTAAATCAAATAAGATAAAAATATGCTGACATAAATATACAACATTCATCCAATTAACTTCTTTAAATTATTAATAGCAAAAAAGTGATTTTATGACCATTTCTTCATGTAGCAGAGGGTTTACGTTCTTTAAAAAGATGCTTTAAAATGTCAGCCGACCTTATTATCACATTAACTTTTTAAGCTCTGCAAATAACCCGGGTAATTTAATTAACTCTTATGAGTGTTGTAATATTTAGAACCTTTCTTTATTTCCTCACAGAGACTAGTGGTGACATTACAGATTAATAACTCTGGCCCTGTGTGAGGTCTAATGGTGTGTTGATGATGCACATTTCTACACGCTTGGAGGGGGGTACCTGTGCTGCGGGGGTGTAAGGGGCAAGTCTCTGTTCATTTCCTCCATAGAGTCGGGAGAGGGTGGCAGGGGGAAGCCGTGCTCGTCGTCGTTGCTGTAGTTACCGTAGCTGCCGTTGGTGAAAGCTGCAGGAGCTGAAAAACGAACAAACAGAAGGAACAAATAAAAACACAGACGGCAGGTTTGTTTATCAGGGAGGAATTGGCGCTGAAACAAAAAGTGATGACTTTTTTTTGTTGATGATAACACACATCTTTATATGAAGACAACAAGAAACAACAAGGGATGAACGTCTCATGTAAAATTACAACAATTCTTCCTACATTTCCATTAAATTAACCCCCCAAAGTGCATCAATCCTCCACTGTAAACATTTTGTTGTGTGGGTGAGCCCCTCCCAAATATTCCAGAGGCAGGTGAGCAAAGCATCTCCATCTTCCAGCATCCCAAAGGGGAGTAAAGAAATAATTTAAAGCAGTTTTTTGTTCTTTGCTTTTTACCACAAAAGCATTCATGCAGCACAATAGGCTTTATGCAAATCTGTCCCACTTAGAGCCGTTTCATCAGGGTAATGATTCCAAGGTCAGATCTTTTTACACATGAAAAGCAAGCATCAGAAAAACATAGTTAATGACTTCCCTTTAGAAGGAAAACTATGAACATGCAAGAGGAAAAGAAAGTTTCTTTAAGCGGTTCTGTCAGAAGTAAAGGTTGACCCGAAAGAGCGGATTAGGGTTCGGAGCTTTTCACAAGGTGATAAACACACACACCCAGACAAAGAGTCTGTGTGTACACACTCCGCAGCAGCAGATAACAGCAGTACACAAACACTGGCTCTGATGTTGACAGTCTGACAGTTCAAATGGACAAACACTGTGCCGTGTGTGTGTGTGTGTGTGTGTGTGTGTGTGTGTGTGTGTGTGTGTGTGTGTGTGTGTGTGTGTGTGTGTGTGCGTGCGTGCGTGCGTGCGTGCGTGTGTGTGCGTGTGTGTGTGTGTGAGGGCGCACCACTTCCGGAGTAACTGTTTGTCGGTTTCAGAGCGTGACTCGTGCCGCTCACAGTGGACTCTGGGTTAGGAGTTCTGGTGGGTCCGGATGGTCTCTGATGTGCATCTGGGCCCCGGGGCTCCTGTCAACACAGAGGAGACTCAAAACTGTGTTGCATGAAACATTAATGCTGCTGCTTCAGATAGTGTAAGATTCAAAGTTAGTTCATTACCCACAGGATGGGACCCGCATGGTTTATTTTATTTTATTTGAGATAGTAACAGCTATTTAAAGAGCAAGTCACCCTCAAATCAACTTTTTTTTGTTGATAAACTATATAAATGAGTGTCTAATTGCTCTGTAGACACATTCAGTCAATAATTTGGCACTTTAGTTAATCTTAGTAAAAATTTAAATTATCTGCCTAAAATTGTCAGCAATGCACCGTCGTCAGGTAAAAACTCTGCACTGCATTTGAATTTAAATCTGCCATCGCTATTGGCTAAGAAGTACACTATGATGTTAGATGGTACATTATGATGTCGCAATGTCCTGAGTGTGTGTATTTGTTAGAGGCTCCGCCCTCTCGGTCTGCTAGGCAACAGCATTTGTTGCATTTTTCAAACAGGAAGTGGGAGTTGAGTAAGAATCTGGCAGGGGGTGACTTGCTCTTTAATGTGCAATACAGGCAGAAAATATAAGAACACATCACAGGTAGAAACTGGATTGATTTAAATTGGAAAAAAATATCCAAATAAAAACAATAAATTAAAACAGAATAATTTTTGCCTTGGAAAAACGGTCTCAATGTGATCTAAAACCATAATTTCATTCAGTTGTTGTCAAAGCTGACTTGTTTTAAAGCTGAAGATGTTTTTAGGTCATCTTAAAAAGTTTGGATGATTTATTAAATGTAAAAAAAAATTAAGTGGGAAGACGTAGCTAGGGTATATCTTAATTTGAAGGGCTAATTGCACTATGGGTAATTTGAGCAAAGCTATAATCAAAACTCGTTTACTGTCGTCTTTAAATTCCCGCTGGTTCACCTTCACATTATTGTAGAAACTTTGAAAATGCCAGAAATGTGGAATTACACACATTTAATTTGGTAGGAAGTGCTAATAGCAGTAAATGCTAGCTAGCTAGCTAGCTATAGCATTTTAGCAACAAAATTAGGCTGGAACAACCATGTTACTGTGATATTAAGATTTATAAAACAGCGTTTTGATGAGTTACAAGTTTAGATTAGTAATTTTAAAAGTGGCAGAAAATTAGCATTTAGCTTTTATCTTAGCCCACTCTCAGATTAGCTGTTAGCAAAGCCAATTAAAGAGTTAATTGCAACAAAAAGCAGATTTTACATGTTCTCACTGTTCCTACAGAAACTCAACCAAATGAAAATCAGATTCTTTTATTTGTCATGTTTTTTAATGTAAAACTGAGTCAAAATTCAAGCAACAAAAAGCAAAGCCTTTCACTGTTGTATCAAAAGTAATTGAGGTCAACTGGTCTCCTCACGAGCACAAATGTTTATATTTTTGGGGAAAATATACTGTGACTGTTGTTTTCCACTGAATTTAACTGATTATCGATGCTACAGAAACAAATCTGTTGTGTTTTCCACTGACACAATGTCTCAGGCAGATTTGTTCAACTTGACAAAACACTTTTTTATAACGTAAAGGAATCCAGACAATAGTGAAGCTGATAATAACAGAAGAAGCACTTTGCCATTCATTCTATCTCACGTTTGATTATTCACACACAGACATGTCTTTTTTCAGATATCTGCAAAGACGGATTGATCAGAGTATTTTGTGCGTTGTTGGCGTGATTCAGAGCAGATAAGGAACAGATTGACGCCTCTCCATTAGAAATAAACCAGGAATAAATTAATCCTTATTTATTTATGATTTTCCTTTGTTGGAAAAATCTCTGCAACAATAAGGTGACAGAACAAACCTGAGAACGCCTCAGAGCTTCGACAGGCATATTATCAAACAGCCCTGCGGCACAACAAAGGACCCCCTCCCTTTTCAGCTCAGAGATGGAGATAGGGACTAACGGCACTGAAAGGATTCAGCGCTGGTGGAAGATGAAAGAAGCTTTCTCTGGTCAAAGAAATGGGAACAACAGCTGTCTCGCGCGCGCACACACACACACACACACACACACACACACACACACACACACACACACTCCAATACACACTTATTCAAACACAACTAGAAGAAGCACAGCAGAGTAATGAAAGGTGTTCCAGTAGCGTCCTCCTATCAAAGTGTCGGTGCATCTACAGTGTCATGAAGTCCCTGCGGTATCATTAGTGGCGAGCACACATCTTAATATACCGGTACATCACTCTGCTGTCAATCACTCCAAGTGCAGTAAGAATTTACACCCAAACTTCTGACAGGCCTTTCTGCATGTGTCACCGACGCATAAATCCTATCAGACTCCCCATCCCTCCAGCCATCCCTCCATCTTTCCTCCCGCCCCTCAGCCTGAGGCCTTTGAAGCAGTGTGGCTGTTTGATATCTTAATCCCATAACAATACGTAAACCTAAAAGGAGATGGGGGGGTGGCTATCTGAGCAACCAGTCTCAACCAACAGCTGGATATAAAACTGTTTATGGGAGGAAAGCCCCTCAGGAAAGATCTGTCTACTTCTTTGTGTGCATTTAGATTTTATCTCCACTTACCAGTGGTTGGTTTGTTAAATAGTTTGATAGTAATAAAGTAAAGCCCATGTCTATGGACTGAGAAAGTGCAGACAGAGGAAAGAAGCTCATTTTCAAAACCCTCAAAACTGACTGCCAATGTGGATGAGCAAATGTCTTTTGGAGAAAAGTTTCACCATTAGACGGGACAAAGACAGAGCTGTTAGACCACAATGACAAGATCTAGAAGACTGACGATGAGGATTTCAAAGCTAAATATTAATTATCGAGCATGCTGTGAGACTGGTGTTTAGGAAGGATCTCCAAATTCTTCAACTGAAATCGTCAAATAGATTGTTGACATCTCGGCTGTGTCCCTGTTCAGGGGCAGCATCCTTGTAAGGAGGACCTGGACTACCTGATTCACATAAGTCAGGTATTTCCTGGACCGCTAAGACCGGAAGAGAGCCCCATTGACCGGTCCTGCCCTTACCTTGGTGTGTGCTCTTTTTGCCCTAAAACTTGTGATGGAACTAAAGAGTAGTGATGTGACATTAACAAACAAACGAAGTGTTTCAAATGGCTCTTCAATGAGCCCTTCACTTATTTTTTTCTTTGTTTACAATCTTACTGCCACTATGGAAGTGGGACAGTCTTGACCATAAGGATACACCAGACCCATTCTTAAATTCAGGAGGTAAAAGGACGCTTTTAGAATTAGGACAGCCTTGTTGCTTTGCAGTGGAGGAATTAACTCTAAAATGTGTACTTGGAACAATGCAGTCCCTGAATCTTAACATACCCCTGCACAGAGTCAGGTGCTTCAAAAGGACAGTGACGCAAAATAATCAACACTGGTTTCTTATTGGATAATGGCCCGGATCTCAACTGGTAATAAAATTCTTATCAATCAGAATTTCATTTATAAATTAATCAGAAAAGTCTGTAGCAGTAGACCAGACAGTTTAAACGAACCCTATCAACTGTGTCAGAAAAGTTGATTTGGTTGAGGTGCAACTTGCTAAGCGATATCTAACCGATAATGTCGGGGAGTACATCCGCATTTTAAACCTGCTTACTGTAGTCAGTTCTAATTCTTGTTATTGAAATTGGTTGTTGTATGATCCTCACATGATGGAAAACATTACCAATTAAAGTAAAGTCCCTATCTATATCACAAAAGCTGAGAAACAGAATGCATAGAAATGCTAAAATGTGCAAATGTGTTCCAACATTTACCAAGATTAGAGGTTTAAGGGCCTAAAATTATGCTCCAGACACAGACAGGGATGCTGAATTAGTTTGTTTAATGAAACCAGATTAGAAAGTCTCCAGTCTGGCTGTTAAAACACGAACCGAGAAGGACTATGCAGATACGTCTTGAACTTTGAACTGTATTTGAGAGCATTTATCCATAGGCTTGATCGACTGAACAAAGACACGCACACACACACGATGGGAGTAAGCCATAGATGAGATGTAAATGCCACAATGGTCAGGTCAACCCCAGAAACCTCCCATTTCACTTCTTACTTCCACGCATCATTGCTAAAACATCTGCTTTAAAGCCGCCATGACACATCCTCTTAAGGCTTTTGAAATAATCATTCAGGGTTCAACGACGAGTTCAGCAGACAGACACAACACAAACAAGCGATTATCTCCTGTTTGTCGTGGTTCATGTGTTTTTCTTCACTATTTCTATGTAAGAATAGGGTTTCTTTTTAAGCAGAAAATGAAAACGGCACTGTTTAGATGCTATGACATTCTTTTTATTTTATCATTGACATTATGAAGCTGTTTAATGTTTTATCTTGTCGACTTCTTTTAATTTGTTGATTTAAATTCATTCCTTGGTATCAGACAATCTACTAAAAAGGTCAAACAGGTGGTATCAACTTATGGCTGCAATTATAATTTGGCACAAAAGCTCCATTTGTGCAAGTCTGAGTAGAATGAGCATCATTTTATTGAATGGTTGAAATTATCTGAATAAAATTTAGAGAATAAAGATCAAGAAGTGAAGTATTTGATGCTAAAGATGTCTAACAGAAATAAAAAGGATCACTTTGGGTAACCTTTGTTGAACATTTGATTATGCTTGATAATGCTCACAACTATTAATTAAAACTAGGGATGTAAGAAAATATCGATATGACAATATTTTGTGATATTTATCCTGTGATACTACATCGATATTCAAAAGCTATGTATCAAAATTTTGGAAGAATTTACATGCAAACATTTGTGGATAATTTTTTGGGGGGTGCAATTCAAACACCAACCACTAGTTGGCAGCAGTGTGCAATGGGTTTTCTTTGCAAAACCGCCACAGCCAGTCAAAACCAAATTTGCTTACAGTTTGGGCCATTATATGGACTTTGAGTAAAGATTTCAGGTGAAAGAAGCCAAGTCATCCCCATGCATAAGTAATGGATGACCTAACGGGCCAAGATCTTTTCTTATTAACTTTAACATTAAGTCAACCAATTGCCATTGAAGTCAGCTTAATTCAAGTTTGCCACCACAGTTAACTGGCCTTAAAAAAAAGATTAAATTGTCTACAACACTGCCAATTTAACAGGAGTTGAGCTACAACTCTTGAACTGTTCTAGACTGGTTTTTATCGTACCTTTCTAACAGAAGTAACAGTGTCTGCATAAACAGAATCATGTCAGATTCTACCGATCTGTTCTGTGGGGTACCCCAAGGCTCTGTTTTGGGTCCACTATTGTTTATAATGTACATACACCCTCTTGGACAGAAAATTAATTATTTTCATAATGTCTCTAATCACCTGTATGCAGATGACATTCAGCAATACTGCTCCTTTAAGGATTCTGAGTTCTATAAACTGTCTGAATTACTAGTGTCTCCATCAGCTACGACCAGGTGGCTAGAAGATAACTTCCTTCAGTTAAACTAAGAAAAGACTGAATGTCTGATCATCGCCCCTGAGAGCATGGTTCCCCTGATTAGTCTAAAACTTGGTCAGTCAACTTCTGCCGTCAAGACAAACTTAAGGAATTTTGATGTTTTTGACCAATGTCTCTTGAAGGCCACTCAAAAACGTTGGTCCAAAACTGTTTATCACTTAAACAATATCTCCAAACTGTGAAGGTTGGTGTCAAAACATGAACTTGAAATGAGTCTCCATGCCTTTATCTCCTCCCGTCTAGATTACTGTAACACACTCTTCACATGTTTTACAAAAAAGCCCTTAACCGCCTTCAGTTGGTCCTGAACTCTGCAGCGAGGCTTCTAACTGGAGCAAACAGAAGAGCACACATCACTCCTATTCTGATGTCTCTGCACTGGTTACCCGTTAACTTTAGAGTTCATTTTAGAATCCTGACTATAACTTTCAATGCTCTACGTGGCCAAGCTCCTCCCTATATTACTGAACTGTTAAAGCCTTATGTTCCAACCCGAGACCTCAGGTCCACCCACCAGAACCCTCTAGAAGTTCCAAATATCAGATATAAAAGTTGAGGTAATCGCTACTTCCAGACTGTTGCACCCCAACTTTGGAATGATCTTCCTTTATCCTTACGTAGCATTGAAACTCTGGACACTTTAAAAAAAACAGCTAAAGACCCTTTTATTTAAAGCTGCTTTTACCTAAATCTTATATTTTCTTATTTTTAACTTAAATTTGTAATCATCTTTCATCTGTTTACGAAATTTTATAATTTTATGACAACTTTCTCTGATGTTAATCTATTTCTTATTTTGAGATCATTATGATTTATTTTGTTTTGATCTATGTGAAGCACTTAGTGAATGTATGTCTGTGATGAGTGCTATATAAATAAAATTTACTGACTAAAACTGGATGTGGAAGTAGCTGAGTCATCCCCAATATTGGTTCCATTCTTGGTCCACAGATGTTCTCTCTACATACCAACTCTCGGTTCGATATCTCCTTTCAGTTATGCTGATGACACTCAGATTTATTTTCCACTGAATCAGATTTTTACTTAATGAAGTTAAAGCTTGAATGAATCACAACTTCCTCAGTTTAAATGAGGACAAAAATGAGGTCATTGTATTTGGTTCCAGTTGTTTCTGCAATGATTCCTAATTAAATCTGTGATTTAGAACCTTTTACAAAAGTTAAAGGGTGTTTTTAATAAATAAACTCTAGTTGAAAAAAAGCTTTTGCAAACTGAGGGTTTTATTTATAATTAAGTCACACAGCAATGTTGAGCGATTGGTTCCTGTTTATATCACCTGTCAGCTGGGCAACTATTCTAGTGTTAGTCAAGCTTTCTCTCTGCAGCTGGTTCAGAATGCTGCTGCCAGACTATTAGCATCCACTAAGAAGTGTGATCACATCCCTCCTGTCCTCACTGCAGTTAGAATAGATTTTGAAGATTTTATTATTGACTTTTAAAAGGTGGCATGACCAGGGTCAACAGTACCTGTTGGATCCAACTACAGCCATGTGCTCCATTAAGAATATTAAGGTCTACCAATGATCACCTGGTAGAACCAACATTTTCTCCACATCAGACAGGTTTCCTTGGGGGAATCTCTATTTTAACTTTCAGTCATTTTTAATTTATTTGCCTTTTCATTGATTTTTTATGCTTTATTGCCATTTCCTTGCAGCACTCTGATCAACCAAAGGCGCTTTAAACACGCTTGATCAACGGTCTGGAGCAAGTACTTTAATAAAGTAGCCCTTTGCCTAAACCTTAGCTAAACTTCACATTAACCACTGGGATGGATTTCTTTCAACATCTCAAAAAGGGATCATTGGACTATCATACATCATCTACAACTCGTTACTTTTTGGACTCATCCAAATTCAAGATGGCCACTGCACCTAATCAACATTAGCAGAAAAAAGTCTTTCATGGATATGAAGCTACAATCTGATGTGGCAGTAGCTGGTAGGCGTTCACACGAGATTCTTATCCTCTAAAAGGATGTTTTGGGTCTGATCTGTAGGTGTTTGTGCTTCTGACCGACGAGAAAAAGAAGCCCAGACGAAACCGGTCAATGGTTTGGCTGTATCAGTGCTCACCTGTCTTAATGACGAACATTCATTGAGCTTTTCAGGGAAGCGTATAGATTTTATAAAGACATGGCTGTTGAGGAAGTCACATCTCAGAGGTCAAAACACTTAGAAGTCACATCTCTCATATTGTGAGAATGACTGGCAGTGTCTCTCAAACCACTTCTGAGTGAGATTTTGGTCTGAAATGCAAGAAAATCATGAAGTATTTTCAGATTTTATGATCAAGGGATGCAAATAAATGTAAAAAATACCTACGTAGATTGATGTGAGTGCGCTTTACTACAATATTTTTGACATGTTAGTGGTTTTTGTTGGTGAACACAGGTTCAACTGCGGTAGGATATTCACCTACAGGCTTAGAAGGTGTTGTTGATATTTAAAATGGTTATCTGTGGTGATTATGGGGCTTGGATTTGATGTATAACCTGGACAAAAGCACCAGAACTAAAGTTGAGGCAGGAAAAAAGACCAAGGCAAAAACATGGAGGATCAGGATTAATTTATAAAAGAGAGAAGGGGAAGAAAAAAAGAGACAGGCATGCAGGAGACATCAGGTTGGCTTTATTAGAAGGAGCAACAGGCAGGTGAGAGAAAAACAACAGTACATCCCATTTTAGAAAAAAAAAACATTTATAAACCGTGTAGGAAAGTCAGCACAAGCAGGAAAAAGTAGGATCAGACCCAACAGTTTGTAGGAAACCCCAGAGGTGTTTAGAGATCGGAGCTGAAGGATTAGCTCTACAGAAAAGAGGGTCCAACATAATTTAGCATAAAAGGGTATTTTTAAAGGAGGGAGATAATTTTTCTGGCGCCACAGGGTTGCTGCAAACCTTCACATGATTGATCTCGCATCAGAACCTATAAAACCATACAGACGCTCTGTATCAGAGCCCATCTGACAGCCCAATGTGTTGTCTGGTCATGATATGGTTGTGTGTGTAGTTATGTAAGTGTGTGTTCCTGTTGCGAGTGGGCGGGTCTCCGTACATCTGTCCGGCCATGGCTCGAATGTCTTCGATGTAACTGTTCTCTCTGTGGACATCGTCCAGCGTGCAGCTGCGTGTGTGTCTGGACTTGTGTCTGTGTGTGTTATGTGTGTTGCCCTGAGAGTCAGAGTGTGTGTGTGTGTTATCCAGGTCATCACTAAACCTTTCCCTGTTTAAGTACCCCTCATCGGGCCTGTTTTGTGTTTCCTTCTCTTTACCGCCGCCTTTCTGTGCGAGAGCGGAACATTTATCCGCTCGGTTGAAACTATACGTGTATCTGGTGTGTGTGTCCCCCGGCCGCTGCCTGTGAGACAGTGGCTCAGATGCTCGCCTCCTGAGCGCTGGGAGAAGGGAAGAGCGGCGAGGAAGAACTGGCGGAGGTTGGTGGACGTCAGCCACTCGTACCTGATAGTTGGAGCCTGCTTGGTCAACGTTGGGTTGACTGGAGGAGATGTTTGTGGCTGTGTTCAGAGCAGAGTTACCACTGCTGGTCTGGAAGAACAAAACCATGTTTACTTTTGAGTTTAAACATCAGCAAATTAAACTTAAGTTAAAACTGGAAAAAGCTACAGTAATATTAGAAAAAACACAAATTTTACTGTTTTCTATGATGAACGTTCACATATTTCATCTTGTAGGACAGCAGCTTGTATTGACTTTTAAAAAGGCTCAAATGATTCTAACTTGTGAGAAGAAAATGATCCTGACATGAATTATAAATATCTCTAAATTTGCTGCCAACGCTGTGGTAGCTGCTTATAGCCTTAACCGTCTTTGAACGTATCTGACTCCATGGAGGATTTCATAATGCATGAGAAGCTCTGAATGTCTCATACCGTCAAACTAAACTCTTAAGTGAACATCTTTAAATCTTGCCCTACATCCACCAAGCTTTGGAGGACAGAAAACATTATAGTAATAGCATAAATTATAATCTTCTTAAGTCTCTTTTTCTTTGCATCAAAACACAATCAGCGTTGCCCTTTGACCTCCACGTCATTAACAAGGCACCGCCTGATCTGAAAAAAACATAATAATAACCAAACACTGCTTGGACAGTTGTCAAGAAGTATTGTTATTTTTCTACCTGTTGGGACCCGCGGAGGACCACAAGCTGAATAGTTCCTCTGGCGTTTCCTTCAGAGGACATGGACCTTCTCAGCGTCTCCATTGCCGAGTGATTGGAGTGTCCGAGCAGCGACTCGCCGTTTACCGCTATCATTTGATCATTTACACACAACCGACCATCCTGTTGAAGAAAAGACAGACCAGGAGAAAAAGTTAAAAGAATTATGTCTTTGAGAAAATTCTAACATTTGATCTTTATAGTAATAAAACGTTGTTTTTTTAAATGGTATCTGATTAATTTTCATTTGGGAGGGTGGCAGAAGGCTAATATACATACATATGACACAAGAGAATGATACAGTGAGATATAACATGTAAAAATGATAAAGATTTATTGATTGGTTGGTTGGTTGGAGTGGCGGCTAGTCCATAGGGGGTGTTAGGGCGCCACTCCACCACTCTCACAAGAAGAAGAACATAGGAATCACAAAATATTTTTAAATACATGTTATTTACACTTTTAGCACTTCCGAATCGTCTTGTGACATATTTCCTGTTACTTTTGGGTGCAGCAATCTCTACCATAGACCTATGCTAACTGGCACATGCGCGCTGAATCTCCCCCCTCCAATACAAAGAATGGAAAAGCCATTGGGCGAAGGGGTACAGCGTCCATGAAGACTCGTGCAGAAGACCATCAGGGCAGAGTCTTAGCTCAGGTCAAGACAGAACCGAAAATTCTCCACAGCTCACCGTCATTTGTTTGTTGTAGAGCCGCTGAGTACACCTCATGGAGTTTTGTTATGAAGAACAAAAAAAATTATGGAATGTGGCATCAGAGACTTCCAAACTCTCTCTTGCATGTAAAAAGGGGGATTTTGTTTTACTATAACAGATGATTACAACCTTAAACCAGCAAAGGTACGAATGAGTTAATGCTTTAAACTTAATGAAATTAGCTTTGTTTTTATGCTGAATTTGCATATGTTGGTGAATATTAAGCAGGTTTTTGGAACAATTTTGCTGTCTGTCGGTGTGACTCATAAAAATGGTGATTTGGCATTCCCTGGTGGTGATATGTGGATGGCGCATCTGAATTCGGCCCAGTCGTCCTGACTGCAAATTTCAGACATAATTATTAGAATGATGAGCGACGAGGATATTTTTAATACATTCATAATGTGAACAGTTTTCTAATCCGTGTTTCACCTGAAGACCTTTTGTTTTTGACTAGAAATATGATGAAATTATGATTGAATATTTATGTTTTGACTCTTTTTATTTAAACATGTTAGAGACAAATGTTTAGTGAGTATTTAATTTAATTTTTTCTGCCTGCTTGAACTTTACTATTGGTTTAAAAAACCAGGAATGTGACTCGAAATTACACTTTTTTTAAAAAAGATTCATTTATTTATTTCAAATAAACCGTAATTTTTACTTTATCTGCCCATAAACAATCATTTTGTAAGGAAGCAAATAAGAGACATGATAATAGTACAACTTTATTAAAAAACCTTGTTGCTCATATACACCTACCCATAACAGGTCCTACAAATCTCGTCTGGCATGCCGTTTTCGGCATAACACCTGTTAAATTGTGCCCCACCCAAAAAATTATTCACCAGCCACCACTGGTTGGCTGGTTGGTTGATTGGTTAGTTAGTGGGTTGATTGGTTGGCTGATTGGTTGGTTGGTTGGTTGGTTGGTTAGTTAATGGGTTGATTGGTTGGCTGATTGGTTGGTTGGTTAGTTAGTGGGTTGGTTGGTTGGTTGGTTAGTAAGTTAGTGGGTTGATTGGTTGGTTGGTTGGTTAGTTAGTGGGCTGATTGGCTGGTTGATTAGTTAGTGGGTTGATTGGTTGGCTAGTTGGTTGGTTGGTTGGTTGACTAGTGGGTTGATTGGTTGTTTGGTTAGTTAGTGGGTTGATTGGTTGGCTGGTTGTTTGGTTGGTTGGCTGGCTGGTTGGTTAGCTAGTGAGTTGGTTGTTTGGTTGATTGATAGGTTGGCTGATTGGTTGGTTGGTTGGTTGGTTAGTTAATGGGTTGATTGGTTGGCTGATTGGTTGGTTGGTTAGTGGGTTGATTGGTTGGTTGGTTAGTTAGTTAGTGGGTTGATTGGTTGGCTGGTTGTTTGGTTGGTTGGCTGGCTGGTTGGTTAGCTAGTGAGTTGGTTGTTTGGTTGATTGATGGTTGGCTGGCTGGCTGGTTGGTTGATTGATTCTCAGAGTAAGGACTCCAAAGAGCTTTACACTACAGTGTATCATTCATCCATTGTTACAAGCCATCAACACATTCACACACACGTTCACACACTGATGGTGATGAGCTACAATGCAGCCACAGCTGCCCTGGGGCGCAATGACAAAGGCAAGGCTGCCGAGCACAGGCGCCACTGGTCCCTCCGACCACCACCAGCAGGCAAGTTGGGTTAAGTGTCTTGCCCAAGGACACAACAGCAGAATTCTCTGTCCGGAACCGGGATCAATCCTGCAACCTTCCGATTACTGGACAACCCACTCAACCTGTTGAGCTACTGCTGCCCCAGTAAGGGATACGATAGAATTCTATTAAATCATAAATGAAAAATTGCACACAAAAGAACAATCAGTTATTAAAAAAGAGAAAAGGACAAGGAAGCAGAAAAACCTGAGAGAAAACTTTTTTAAGAGAGAAAAAGATGAAAATGAAAGAAGGGAGGGAGAAGAGAAAAAAATGTGGAGTTGGCAATCTAGAGAGAGTGGGAGAACTGTGATAAATACATAGAGCAGCTAATGGAATAGCCTCTGTGGGCACTAAATCACTTCTAAGTGTTTTAAATAGCAGCCTCTCGTAGGGAGGCGATGCAGAATACTGCCCTGGAGGGACGAGGAGACGAAGGGAGGAAGGGATCAAATGAGGAGAGAGAAGTGGAGAAAAGAAAAATGATGATAAAGAGACATCCTAATGCCTCTGCTGTGTGTTTGGAGTCATGAACATCCTATTACAATCAGCGTTGCCCTTTGACCTCCACGCCATTAACAAGGCACCGCCTGATCTGACCTTAGATCTATACTTAGCTGCCCCCCCCCCCCCTCCACACACACACACACACACACACTGCACCAAACTCAAGGATGTCATTAAAGATTGATATTCCCTGTTAGTATCTTTATCCTACTTTTTGTAAACAGTGTCAGCGCGGTGCATGTAATTTTAATTTGTTTTCGTCTTTGAAACGGTCGCCTGACGGGATCAGAGAAAGTCAGAGAACAAGTTCTAATATAATTGAGGCCTTGGGCCCAACAGCCCTGGAAATGGAAATGGGTTAGATCTCTCCATGAGTCTTCCTCGTCTCCACCCTTTTTTAGGCGTGCGCGTGTGTGTGTGCGTGTGCGTGCGTGTGTGTGTGTGTGTGTGTGTGTGTGTGTGTGTGTCAGTCAGACTCGGGGACGCCCTTTTCCCTCCTCTGTGAAGGCTAAGGCTCACCAGACCTCTTAGCTGCTTTTCGTTAGCATTTATTAACGTTGCAAAGGAGAAACAGATATTTATATCCACTCATACTCTTTATTGTTCAATAACGCTACTTTCCTCCTCTCAATCTCTCCGTCTTCCTCCTGTTAGCTTCATCCCCCGATCTCTGCTGTCTGCATCTCCTCCTTCATGACTCCTCTTGTGTGGTATCTTGTCCCAGAGACCTGCTTTCTGCGCCCAGCCGGAGATCTTACTAGGCCATTCTGTGCGAACACTATCCGCTTCGGCAGCTGTCAGAAAACTACTTCTGAGAGCACTTTTGGGAGCCGCCGCCTGGCCGTCCTGATCCCAGACCAGCCGTTTATCTACAACAGCACACCCGTCTCTATTCCCGCTTTGTCGCGCTGAGCAGATCTGGGAGCGTCGGCGAGAGGCAGGAGAAGTTCTAAAGCGTGCAAGATTATAGAGGCCAAGTGGAGGAATCTCCAAAGTGCTGAAATAGGACGTCTGCAGTGCACCCCTCATACTTTTTTCCAGCGCACAACTTGAAGTGAGCGCTGAGTGATATAGATAAGACTGCTTCAGTGCTTATGTGACAAGGCCACTTGAGGTCAATGGGTGTCAAAGATCAAGGGAAGCCAGAAGGAAGGGGTTCGATTTTCAGAGAAAGACGGGAAATGAGGCAGAGGAGATGAGAGGAAGCAGAAAAATACAAAAATAAGACTGAAAACAAACTTATTCAGACATATGATGTATGTTTAAGGGATGACTAATGCCTTATAAAGCAGAAAGCTTTGCATGCTGAAGAAAACTGACAGTTTTGGAGCGTTCTGCCGGAGCACGCCGGGAGTATGTCTGGCCTTCAGACACAATACAGCAAATTACACACTGAAGAGGACGCATCGGCTTTATTGGATCCTCTGCAGCTTTGGGCATCATTTGTATTGTTCATGATAACACCATGCTCATCTAGTTAATGAGATCTGAGAGCACAGTTCTGTCGCCCCACACATTAACGCGCCACAGACATTAAAGGGGGAATACGAACCGCACAAGTAAAAGCTACGGTCTCGCAAAGAAAGGTAATAAATCCTTAAGAGTTTTGGCTGTGGAGAAGGGGACGTTTTCACAAATGGAAATAATGAACTTCTAGTGAAACGTAGAAATCGGCTAGGTCAGGCACGCCTGACCGTGTGACATTCAGTGTGTACACAGGTCACAGGAGGTCGGATGTTATGTCTTTAAAACGTGCTTGTTTTATGGTTTATGGATGTTACATGGAGTTTTATGGTCACATAGAGCTCCTTTATATCAGAGCTCGTCGTTTTCTCTTCACAGATGGAAGTGAATAGTCTTTTTGACTCGTCTTCTACGTAAAACACACAAACGTTAAAATATCTCCAGACCCTTTTACCCTTTTTAGTTAAAGAACTCTTCAGTAATACCGTTTAGCACAGTTTCAGGCTCAGTTTTATTGACATGTGCCTCTGCTTGTCTATTTCTGTGCCTTGCAAGGGTGCGGTTACCATGGTAACCCTAACTAGACACTGGCAGCAGCTTTACATTTTTGCTGGTCTTCCATTTTGTTTCACCTCTTATAGATTTATGAAGCTTGGACTTTTTGACTTGGCTTACATCAGAGGTGAGAAATTTGAACCTTGGAGGTCAACCATCCTGCCTGGATTAAGTTTTCATCTCAAACTGTACGACTTCTTCACAGGGCAAAGCTCGTGAGCCATGTTCGCACGCTGTACGCGTGGTAGCAGCACGACAGACCTAACCACAGTCGTTTCACCGCAACATAACGAACATGTGAGTCATAAAACCCAGAAGACAAGAGACTGATGAGCTATCATTGGTGTCTGTTGTCCTTGAGGCTTGCCGTAGTTGTAGGAAGACACGCAGTGGTTTATGGGGGTTGGAGGAGGAAGACGAATGAAAGAAAGTTAACCAATGTGTTGGGATCCGTTTTTATTTGACAAACACGCTTCGTTCACAGTCCTTGCCATTGTGTGTGGAGAAAAGTGTAAAACCAAAGAGATGCCGTTTACGGACACGAACATGGCTAAGCACATGGGCTGGTGCATGCTCTGTGGAAGTGGTTTTAGATGCAACGGCACCTGGAGCTAGTTGGGAGGTGTTAATCACTTATCGCTACCTCCTGTAAACCACACGACGCAAAACAGGGCCCAACCTCAAACGGGAAAATTGGCTCAAAATGCCAAACGTAGCACCGTGTGTCCCCCGGCCTTATGGGCCATTCCCATCTGCACCGGGTCGGGTAGCGTAGGTTGTTTACATATCTGGGGAGCCTGGTATTTTTCCGGGCCAACCAAGGCTCATTCTCAGCCCTCTTCTCGAGGGGGTCTGCTTCAGGCTGACCAGGGCCAACACACCCACTGCTGACAGCAAATTCACACCTTCCATTAGAGCAAGCCTCTGATTGGTGGGTAGAATCAGCCCACATGGGCTCAAGACAAGGATGTGTGGAATCAACCGGGCCAGGCTGGGGCCGACTGGGGCTACCCGGCCCGGGCCGACCCGGTACAGATGGGAATGGCCCATTAGATGTTCCCGTACCCCGGCATTAGCTGAACTGAATAAAGTGCGCTAAAGCGAGGTGACGTACAAAACCAGCAGGATAGCTGCCCCTGAAACCAGATTAATCCACTTACCAAAGTAACCCACTAAGGCATTGGATGTAAACTCTTTACCTTATAAGCTGCCCCTCCGTGGATGATGGACTTGATGAAGATTCCCAAATCCTCTCCGGTCTCTTTGGACTTATTCCCTTTCAGGCTGAGCCCCAGGCCGGCCGAGCCTGTCTCATTCAGCGGGATCTCGTACATCAGCTGCTCCTTTCCGTCCTCAGTCACCTGACCGCTCACCTCTTGGCCCTTCTGGGAAAGGAAGATAAAAAGCACTGAGCTCGACGTGTCATGTAAATACGACGTGGTAATATTAGCATAGTAACCACTGTGCATGATAGCTGCTGATTATATTTAATGCCATAAACAAGAGAAACAAAAGTGAAAGAGATCAATGGTCAGATCAAAGGTGGCTGTGGGGAGGAAAGAAAGAAAAGGAGAAGAAAGTAGAAACATAACGATGAAGGTTGTGTGAGAATCAGAAGAAAGCTACTGTAGAGAGGTTATTCCATTTAAGAGATGAAAGGCGCAGATGGAAAGCGAGTCATTTCTAAAGGAAACATAATAACCCTTTCATACCTCCTCCTGGAGCACAGTGGGGGAATCAGGGGCAGAAAAGAGCGAGGAGGAGGAGGAGGATGGGAGGACGGTGGCACAGAGGAACATTTAAAAGTAATAACCCTTCCCTGAGGTAAAGCCACTTCTTCTCATTCACCCCCCCCCCCCCCCCCCCCCTTATTCAAATCTCAGATTCCTTTCCCACCTGCCTCCTCTTCTTCCTCCTGCAGGTCTCCCCTCCCTCGCCCACCCCGCTCATAGTCGGCGAACGACCACCGAGGCGGCTTGGGAAATGAGACGGACGGAGGGAAAAATGGTAATAAAGGAGAAAAAGTCAAATGTCTGTCATTAACAGATGCAAATCTGGGGATTAGTCAGTCATAAGAGGAGCGGAGAAGTGCCTCAACACTACTTCTCTCTCTTCATAGCTGCAAAAAAACATTTAATTTTCTGTTTTACCCAAAAGGACAGCTGCTGAAACTCGCCAAAAGCAGAAAATGTAAAAGTGAATTTTGCATCACCACTTGTTGTGAATTTAAAGGTCTGAGCCGAGGGGGATTGCAGGACTCTTACATCACACACCTTTCAATCAGGACTTCACAGCTCACTTTCATCGTGACACAAACTTGAAGGACAAACACGCCTTCCAGGACGGTTTTGGTCAAATTCACATTTACAGAAGCTTGCTCTACCTGCTGCCATCCTCCTGTAGCCCCTAAAAGCCGGTCTCCTCACTGACGACTCGATTCTGTAAACATTTGTCTTAATTAAAACCTGGTTAAGGTTTCAGACCGAGAGAAACTCTGCCTTTGAATCGGACCGCTCAAGTCACTCAAGTTAATGGAGTGAAAGGAAATGCTGATGAGCTGTGACACAAAGATCCATTTAGTCACTTTGATGCGTAACACATGACAAGTGGGTGCTTTTTAAGTGTACAGCAACGATTTCTGCACATTAGGTTTAGAATTGTAATAACAGGTTTGAGGTTTGGTTAGAGGAACATTAAGAACAAACATGTATTCTCCACCGAGATGTCTACGTTTGAAGATTAGACGTTTCTGCAACATAAAACCCTACTTTACCAGAGTTTCATTAAATATGGATGAAGACCTTGTTACAACTTATGAAAACTGTCTGAAAACAGAATGTCTGCAGGATCTTGGCATGGTCTTCAGCTGCACACCGAGAACTCAGTGGGTTCTTCAAGACTTATGACAGAGATTGATCGATGCATGATTTCTTTGGCAAGGTTGGGGTTGCATAAGGACCAGTTGTGGTCCTGGCTGAAGAATGGTGGTGGTGTAACCATAATATTGGGTGTACACACACACACACACGCACGCACACACACACACACACACACACACACACACACACACACACACACGCACACACGCACACACACACACACACACACACACACACACACACACACACACACACACACACACACACACACACACACACACACACACACACACACACACACACACACACACACACACACACACACACACACACACACACACACACACACACAGAGAGCTAAGTCAGTTTGTGTAATTTCCTCCAACGGTTTACGTAAAAACTAACTTTTATATACGTGTTTGAAGCCATTATGCAGTGGAACGCTGATAACAAAGCTCTGCCTGATCAACACTATAAATGATACATGATCCGCACTTGTATAGCGCCTCCCAAAGTGCTTTACACTACAGTGCATCATTCCTCCATTCACACACATTCACACACTGATGGTGATGAGCTACGATGTAGCCACAGCTGCCCTGGGGCACACTGACAGAGGCGCCCCACTATTTAATTCAGTCATTTGTTATTCTCCCAATCAATTACTAACCAAAACCTCATGCTTTATGCAAAACATTAAATGATTTTCAGCATACCGATCTTTACAGAAAACATAAAAGCCCTAAAAAACTGCTCATAAAATATATCTAAAAAAGGAAATTCACTTATCACTTAGAGCAGTAGTTCCCAAACTTTTCAGCCAACAGATGTTCCTTCGTATTTTTACGATATTTAGAAATTTTCATTATATTTTGAAAGTTTTTATTTATATATAAATATATAAATCTCTTTTTAAATTTTATATTTAACTTTTTTTATGATTATGTGGCACACTTAACTTCCATACCCAACACATCGGCATCTGCCTCTTTTTACGGCTTTTTTTTTTTTTTTTTTACATTGTCGCTACGTCGGTCACGTTTGCGGTGTTTTACCATCATTTCTACATCCATCACGTCCCAGAGAAGGTTAAACCAACATCAAACCCAACATTTGGAGCTCGTAAACTCCACACACCTCTCGTGCAGCACCAGCTGTCTGATGCTGCAGCAGCGTCCATCTTCCCGGCTGGATGAGTGAATTTCTTCATCAGAGTCAATGTTCTGCTTCATAATCAGAGTCAGTCATGACCAGACAAAGTGATCAGCCAACAAAGACCAGACCTGCCGGCAATTATACGTTTTATCTAATATTTACGCTCTTCATGCTGCGCACATCTCCTCCTCTCCCCGACTGGGAGCTCACGGCGGGAGGCATTTTTCAAACTCTAAAAACTCCCAAACTTTGCTCAGCCTGAAGGTTCCACATCTTCACTATCTTCTGATGTAAAGTAGTAACTTCATGAGGGATCATATTTGTAGATGAGACTTGTTAAAGTCAGCAATGAGGCTTTGGCGCTTTTAAAGAGCAAGTCCCAACACTGACAACAACGTACTGAAACTAGAACCAACATGTATAAATGGACCAGATCAGTCCCACCTACTTACACTGTTGGTCTTTTTTAAATACACAGTAATCGTTGCTCGCCTTTTTCGCTTCATCCTGCGTCCTAGCAGCAACCACTTTGGCGCCTCTGGAGTCGGTGTTTGTTTACGTCATGCTGCATTCAATGTAATTGGAAAAATGAGCTTCAAGTGCTTAACCTCCAATTTTGTTTTCTTTCTGGCCTTAGTTGGGGGGACGGATCAGGGTCGATCTGAATCTGGGGGGGACAGATCCCCCCCGTCCCCCACCCTATCTGCGCGCCTGGCTGAAGTACAGAGTCTGGTAAGGACACAGGGAAAAAAATTGCATCTTGACAAATCAAACTCCTCTGAATTTAGTTTCTACCAATGGCGTGCCCAGATATTTTAAAATGGAGTGACCCAGGTAGTACACTACTTTGTGCACGGGTGGCACCAATGGTTATGCTTCTTTTTTTTACTCCAAGCTTTTTGTGGACAAGTCTATTTAATGGGAATTCAGTGGGGTGGCCAATCAGATTCCAAGGGTGGCATCAATTTCCCTCTGGGATTAATAAAGTATTTTTAAATGGAATTGAATTGAATGTGCTACCCCAGGCCACCCCCTGGACACGCCCCTGGTTTCCACATGTTAGAAAAAGTGAAAACTATGAGGGCTTGGCAACCAAACTCAAAATCAGTCATATTTTTCACTAAATTGTGACACGGAAATGTTCCCATTTTAGTACGATAAGAGCATATTGCCTGTGGGATCCCATCCCGATGTAAATGAAGCTTGTCTTAACCATCATGTTATCATCAGATTTATATAAAAAAACTAAAGATTTCACCTAAAAATATACATAATTTATTTTACTTATTCAAGGCGTATGAACAAACATGGCAGCTACAAATTTCATGCTACAATTTCAAGAACTTTACAGAGTTTAAAGAGGAAGTCACCCCAAACCAACTTTATCTGCTGATAAACTATATAAATGAGTGTCTAATCTTGTAGTCAATAATTTGGCACTTTAGTGCATCTTAGTTAAAATTGAAATATTCTGCCTAAAACTGTCAGTGTTGCGCCCTCTTCAGGTAAAAACTCTGCACTGCATTTGAATTTAAATCTGCCATTTCTATTGGCTAAGAGGTACACTATGACATTAGCTGGTACATTATGTCACAATGTCATTGTGGGCCTGTGTGTTTGTTGCATTTTTCTAAAAGGAGGTGGGAGTGGAGTAAGAGTCTGGTAGGGGGTGACTTGCTCTTCAACATAAACAAGACATATAGTCCTTTTTAACACAACTAGGCAACTATGCAGTGACCTACCATTGTTCGTTTTAGAGATCCCGAGGAGAGACCAAGCTGGAGGAAGGCAGTTTTCCGGCTCTACAGACACACCAATATCTGGTGCATCACAGACCCGCTCTGATTGGTTGAATGGCTAAAACTGTGACAAGCTTGATCCATGAAAAGGAACACTGACATAATTTATGATGTGGGTGGAAGTGTCTACATATAGACGCTGGCCCTTTAAATCATTAACTGCTATTGACGACTAAAGTTGTCATTTGCATTTTTTTACTGTGTGGGCGTTGGAACGAGCCCCCGGGCTGAGAAAACAAACATCCCGGCTCTAAAGCCGATCTTCATCCACGTACGTCACACGTCAAGTGATCATGAAGCAGAAAATTCATGTGTTAGGAGATTGTTTTGGGCCGCTGCTGTAAAAAAGTGAGGCGCGAACCAGAAAGGCTTCTGCAGATCACAATGCGACTACGGATTATGAAAGAACGGATAACGCTCGAAATGCGCGGATTCTTCCTGATGTAAGAGGTGAGCCTCCTCTTTGTTATGGTAGTTTTGGCGTTGACATCATCATAGCACGCAGCATTCTGTGACTCTTAAAAATAAAACAGTGAAAACGCTGAAAAACGCTGGCAGTGACTTGAGTTTAGTGGTCGGTGTCCTTTGTAAACATTCAGTGTACCCTCAACTGAAAATTAGATACATTTCTGTTAATTTTGAGTTGAAAATTACACACCAACAGCTGCAGCCCACTGAGATCGTGGTTTCATGTAAAATCACATCAAACGCGACATGCAGATGTACCAACATCTGCTTACAACGACATTCATCGAAGCTTGAGCTTCTAATGAAACTAAAGCATGAAGCCTTTTTTTAAAGAATTAGCAGAAAAACCGATATGGGATTTTCAGATCATCATGTTTAAAATATCATACCTCAGTTGGACAGCCCTTTTAGGGGTTGGTTCTGTTGGAGGTTTATTCATGTTGATGTAGGTTTCTTTTCCATCATATTTTATTATCTACGACTGATTTACTTACAACACAACTGGGTTTACTTCTTTTGACCTGGCCCCATTTAAATAAACTGAAACCAACTGGTGAGATGGGGGAACTGAGGCAAACGTTCCTGAAAAGCTACGCCAACGAGGAATTCCAGGACATATTTTCTTAAAAGCAGAGGCATTAAAATGACAATCGTTCTGCATCCTTGGGTTGGTTCTGACTCCGCTACAATAACCTAAAAAGTGAAAGGGGTCGTGAACAAAGCTTGGAAATTAAACCGATGTTTATTTATTGGATCTTACTACTTAAGTGGATCTCAGTGGTGGTCTAATGCCCTTTCCTTTGGGGCAGACTGAGTCTTTTTGCCTCGACCCCTCCTCCCTCCACTGTTAGCCCTAAGCAAAGGCTCTTAACAAGCTTTTAGCCAGGAGTGAGACCACCCTCCTCAGCTTCCAAATGAGGGAGACAAAAAGGAGCTTTTTCTTACCCCGGGTGGATGGCGAGGGGGGTACACGGCGATTACACACAGGCTTTTGTCACCAAGGGTTTTTAAATGTGGGTTTCAAAGCAGAGGAGGATTAGTGGTGAGAGCGACATTCAATTAAGATGAGATCTCGCCGCGCTTGACGGCGGCGGCGGCAGAGCTGCCAATTAATCGCCTTAATGTCTGCTTCGTCGCAGCTTTTCACACCTTTACCTTGCAGCGACGTGGAAACGTAAACAAAAGCAGCGATTGAGGGATAATTCCAGAGCGAGAGATACTGAAGAGAAGGCTTGACGGACAGAGAAAGGAAAACTAAAAGCTGACAGGATGAGCAGTCAAAAAAACAGCAACACTGGGAAGTTCCCTTTTCCTGTGAATTAACTCGGTTTGGTGGCAGCAGCGGGTCAACCATGTGCAGAACGACCCACCTTCCTGTCTCTGGCTCGCACTTTCACTCACACAGTGAACCCTAACCACCATCTAGAAGCCACAAGAAGAAACCCTGACAGGATAAAACCTGACTAGTAGGGGTAGAAAACAGTTTAATATCCTCACAATTCTAGAATTTGTTGTTAGAAATTCCTCCCTTTACTCAGACGGAGAAATCAGCAGGTCAGCTAGTTCTGCCACATTCGAATAAGAACATGAATCCTGCAGGTTGGCAGCGAGTCTCAAAACGATCCTTTTGGTCAGATGACTAAGAGTTTAAAAGCAAATTCTGAGTGGACTCCCGCCTCCGACGCATATTAGTCACACTGACTGAACGCTCCTCAGATGTAAATGCCAGGACTAAAATATGCCAATAAATACTTTGCAAATTGCCATGAAATTCTGGTGGGAACACTCGTCAGGTTCCTCTGAGGATTATTGGGGAACGTCTTCTGGTCAGCGCTGATGCAAGCGCTTTTGTTTGGTGTGAAATATTTCCACGGCAGCTAAAATTAGCATTTAAGCTCCCAAACGCAAGACAGAACCACACGATTTGGCAATCGCCTTACATACGAGGTGTCATATGTTACATGTCTTTTTTGCGGATTAAATAGTTTTGAATTTAGAAGACTTCATTAGTTTAATAATAAGCTTTTATTAATCTGTAGAATCAGTCAAAGCTACGGTTGAGGACTAAATTACGTAGAGATCTCCTTTCGTCACACCAAAGTGTGCCTTTTAAAGAGAATGAATAAAAAATCAAAAACAGCACATTTCTAAAATGTTTTCATTCAAATGAAGTCAAATAAATGGAGATTCTGAAGGTCAGAGTAGTGAAACCGGTTAATAAAACCCTTTTAAATACTTTTGGAAATGTGATTTTTTATAGCCTCAACTCAGCAGAAATTCAAGGACGCTGCTTTCCCAAAGATTTGTTTTAGTTTAAGTATAATTAGAACGACAAACGCCTTCCTGCAGGAGAGAAAATGAGACTTTGATTGATGCTATTAGTTTCTACTGTACTTCCATTCTCTGCAGCAGAGTGGAGCTGGTAAACGAAGACGTCTCACTAGAGGTGTAGCAATTATTCTCAACAGCTACTTCATGTTTAATGACATTAATGAGCTGATTTACATCAAATCATATAAACAAACCGACGTGACCAGTGCTGTAGTTACATAAAAGCCTCCTTTACAAGGTGTTAGCTTCAGAGACACGAAGTGATGCTCGTGTCCAACATTCACAAAGGAGCATGAACGCCTCTTAAGAGAGGAGGGCATGTTGGAATACAACCTGCTGCATGCTGAGGTGCTGGACGCTGCCTCCATCACAGTCACATATGTTTTTACTATTGTGTTTATGTTGTTTTAATGTATTTCAGAGACTTTTTAACACGGATGAATTTGTCCCTCATCTTCCTCCACCTCCATGCGATCGGCACCTCTAAACTCTCGTTTCTCGTCATTTCCATCCACCATATTGTCATACTCCTTCAGTCACGAGTGAATAAACGTTCATATTTTGGGACTTTTTCCGCGAGGCGTTCTTCGATCTGTTCCGTGTCTGCCGTTAAATATCTTTTTTTTTTTCTTCTTTTTTTAGGGGACAATGGCGGTGCTGTTGATGAATTTAAAGGAAGCAGCGTCCTGATCAATCACAAACTTGCTGTCTCCATCATTTTGGATGGAGAGTTGAAAATGTGGGCGTGTCTGTCAGCCTCTGTGAACCCGTCGGAGACCCCTTACGCAGGCGGATAATGGTGTTGCGTGTCTCCACACCGACGCAGACAGAGAAGTTTAAATTAGGCTTTAGAAACACCGGCTGAACTCAACCGACGGAACAACCTTCCCCACCTCAAAAAAATAAGAAAATCTGGATCTACACAATCCACATCAACGCCCTATTTGGTGTGAAAAAGTTATTTTTTTTTTTTGCAGAAAAGCTAGATGTTTGCTGGTGTAAATAATGTTTTGTTTCCTTTATTTTCATTATTCATGCCATTTTACAGCATGCTTGTTTGTGTCACGTCATAACTGAAAATATGATACCCGTGTGTTTTGCCCTTCTTCTGTCACCACAGAACAAATGTAGGTTTAGCTTTAAAGCAGGCCATGTCACTCCGATTAATCTGGAATTGCACAGAATAATCCTAACTGTTCTTTGTCAACTGTACCATTTTCACGGTTTATAAATAAGAACATTGATTTTTAGGTTTGGCTTGTGCTGTTGTTTACATGAATTGTAAAATGTTAGAGAATTTCTAAGACGGAGCAGATTTAACTTTATTGACGCTTGGGAACAGTTAGTAGTCCATGCATGTGTTCCATCCTTCCACACAGAATTAGCGTTTCTGTGTGTGTGGTGTATGTGAGTGTATCGGTGTGTGTTTAGAGGACATCAGAACCTCCCTGAGGTGGAGGACGGTGCTGAAGACGAGGGCCGGATCCCACGAGGAACAAGCAACTTCAACAGAAATCTCTCATTAGCTCCCCCCATCCAACAAGCTCTTTAACCGCCTCGCTTTAATGCAGAAACACAAGTTAGTGTTCAATGGAGGCAGCAGACGCTCTTCAAAGTGCACTTGTAATGCAACGACTGCTGGGCTATTAATGAGGATGAACTGTTTTAGGAAGCAGTAACTTAGCTGGTTTTCATCTGTTTCAGAGCACTTGTGTTCAAGTTTTTATCGAGGACTTGGGAGTGTGTGTGTGTGTGTGTGTGTGTGTGTGTGTGTGTGTGTGTGTGTGTGTGTGTGCGTGTGTGTGTGTAGTTAGTGCATGTGCCACTAATCCAGAGCTTTGAAGTGATCAGAAGAACCACAGAGGACAAGAACAGAAGCTCACAGGCGAGAACGGCGTTTACAGAGAGCCAAACTGGGAATATGGATGCATGTTTAAAGGTGTTTATTGGTGAAACGTCCCTTGTGAGCTCCAGGCAAGCTGTGTCTGCTTCCCGGCGCTGACCTCTGACCCCCGTCAGCCGCTGCAGGTAAGTAGCCGCTTAACGAGCGCGTCGCGCCGACAACGAGGACACGCACCCACTTCCTGCGAGGCCACTGCGCCTGTGACTTCCTCTGACATTGCTGTGTCAACAACCCAGAGATGGACAGGAAGGCTGGCGTGTGTGTGTGTGTGTGTGTGTGTGTGGGGGGGGGGGGGGCACATAATGTGGCAGAAAAATGCTCAGGAGGACAGGCGTAGATAAAGAGTGTGAAGGTACTTTGTGCTGCGTTTCAGTGTTTTTCTTAACTCTTACCAGCTCACGCGGAAGGAACATATCCTCCTGCCGGGCCACCACCACGGACACACTCTCTCCCTGTTTGGTGCTGCGCAGCATGGCGACGAGCTCCTCCTGGCTGCGGCCCGTCATGTCTACACCGTTCACCTACACACACACACACACACACACACACACACACACACACACACACACACACACACACACACACACACACACACACACACACACACACACACACACACACACACACACACACACACACACACACACACACACACACACACACACACACACACAGGAGTGGATTAGAGTGAAGTGTATTATCTACTGGAAGGTCTTTCTACTGCCACACAGTGAATAAAACCACATCAGCATCAAATGCAGCCCGCTCCCTTTGAACACCATAAAAAACTGTTTAATTTTTCTCTCAGAGATCATTGTAGGTTTTTGCTCACTCAGGTGTCCTCTACCTTTCCACCAAACCACACCCAGTTCCACACCAGAGCTCACTTAGCACCAGCCCTCTCCATTTTCACCATCAAAGGTTCTGTGTAAACAAACGGTCTTTCAGTAATTCTCTAAAGAAACACTATTAAAGAAAAGGGAGAATGTACACTAGCGTGTACTAGAACCTGTACTAGAATATACATAAGCGACACACTTAGCTTTTTCTAATATAACCAGCTCTGGAATTGGCCCACGGTACTGGAACAGCAACGGAACCGCTTTGGTGGAAAGAACTTAAGTTTAAGTTTAAAGCAACACTAATCCGTTTTTAACACTTTAAGCTATTCCTTTTAAAGTGAGTTTTAGTGGTTCTGTACATAAAAACTTTACCAACTTCACACTGGACAGCACTGTAGTCCTCTACTGACCGGACACTGCACTTAACAGTTTTGTGGGGCGGGTAGGTGCCCTAGACGGCGCTCTTTATTGGTTTAATGGCTGATAGCTAATATAAAGGCTAGCAGTTAGCTTTCTCAGTTTGCTGAACATCTATAAAAAGAAAAAGAAAAAGATTTTTTTGTTGGCACCATGGTGGACCCTAGAAGTAAAAGTAAGACAGTGATGTCATTGGAGGCAAAGCAAAGAGCTAAAATGAGAGTGAACAACGGTGCGGCCTGCGCTAGTTTGAAGGGCCTACAGGAGGCTACTAAATTATGGACTGATGGTGACCTAGCTTTGTTGCTATTGCACTTGTTCTACATATTTTTTGTCCAACAGTGTGTATCTTTTTACTTCGTGTCTTATTCAGTATCAGCTGGCTCATGTTAGCATTAGCTTGTTGTTAGCGCTAGCTACGGCAGGCTGCAGCAGGGTTGGTTAAGAATGTTGTAATTCAACTTTCATCCAGTAGGGCAGGAAAAGCAGGAAACTGAGTGTCGCTTTAAGTCTTAAAAACTAGAATCCCAAGTTGGTATCAGATTAGACCCATTACTTGTCTTATTGCCTCATCGTCTTTAAAGGGACTTTATGGAGTTTTGAAGTTTTATACTCGCGATTGCCCCCTCAGACCAAAAGCATAACGGCAGCTTCAATAGTAGGCTCAGGCAAGAGGCGCGCATGCTGTACGTGCACACTCCTTAACAAAAATAACAGCTGAGACAGTCCTGTGTGTGCGTGTGCGTGTGCGTGTGTGTGTGTGTGTGTGTGTGTGTGTGTGTGTGGCCTGGAGGACAGAGGACAGGACAGGAGAATGCGCAGCTAATTAAATAATTTGGTTCTGTACCTTTCTCTTCAGCACAGCCGACAAAGGTTTATGATGGGTCAGTCCTCCTGCATGCTCAGATCATTCCCTTCCCTTGCTTGAAAAATTGTTCCAAAATGAAAGTTGAACCCACATATTTTTTATCTGTGAATTCAATGCCGTTCGGCAAGTCTCAAATAAAGATTTGGGCGTCTTACTGTAAAAAATATACCATTAATGTAAAAAAGAAACTCTAAATTAACTATGTTCACATCCAGAATCAAACCCAGGTCTGCTGCATGGGAGTCCGACGTCCTTACTAGGTGAGCTAAAGCGCCAGTGACGTCACTTGTATCTGTACCATTTAAGATCGGTTCAGAGGGCTATGCCTGAGCGTGAACGCGCATGAAGCAGCCTGCTCGACCTGAGCAGCTCTCTTTTTCTGTGATTTTACAGAAAAACAGTCAATCACAGTAAAAATGCCAGGGCTCATTCTACAGGACCAGGGCATTGCAGGAGAATGTATGAAGAAGACATTTATTATTTCTATACATGTTTTGGCTGTCAAACTTCCATAATGCCCCTTTAAAATGACAACAACAAAAGTGCACTCAAGTGTCAGAGGAGTTTTCTCTGATCTTACCTCCAGGATTCGGTCTCCAGGTTGCAGCCGTCCATCTTTGATTGCTGCACCACGTGGCAAGATGCTCTTAACTAAAATCGGGCCTGGCCCGTGGACCGTGGAGTCCCTGGTGACCACAGTGAAGCCCAAACCCTCGAGGCCTAATGGGAACAAAGCAGCATAAGTCTCAGTGAGACATTTTAGCCCCTGAAAATACATCCAATTATGTATTTTATTTCCATTTTAATTGAATTTTTCCTCTCATCTCCCTATTGAGACAGCTTTCTCCGTCCTTTCTTCGCTTGAATCACCTGCAGTTTTAGCATCGCCCTCCGCATTAACTAATATTTAAGTGCTTGCCTCCCTGGAGGGGCTAGTTGCCAGGCTCTCTCTTAGCTGGATTAGACAGACTGCCTTTAATTTCACGTGTGAGCATGCCGATCGGTGGCTGTCCAAGCAAAGTAGGGAGAATTTGGCAAAAGAAAAAAAAGGAGGAAAGGTGAGAAAAGAGGGACAGCTCCTTTTCTGGCTTCCCTCCCTTTGTATGCAACTTCAACAAAGATTCTCCTCGAGTTTGTGAGCTTATGTTGACTTCCTGTGTATGTGTTTTTAAGGGCCACACACACACACACACACAGACACACACACACACACACACACACACACACACACACACAAGCGTGAACCATCAACCCCCAGAGCCCCCTCCTTCTCCCTCTTTCACGGCACTACAAGCCCCAAGCCATGAGTGAAATGTGCCACGCTCAGTCTAAGATGGTGTGTGTGTGTGTGTGTGTGTGTGTGTGTGTGTGTGTGTGTGTGTGTGTGTGTGTGTGTGTGTCTGTGTGGTGGGAGGAAAGCAAAGCCACCATGGCATACTAAAGGCAGCGAAAGATGCTATCTGGTCCCCGAGCTAAGCCTCTGCCTGCCCTACATTAGCGCACCTAAACCTCCCCGCCTGCCAATCACGAGGAGAAAGCGCCCGTTGCCGAGGGAGAAGGTGTTAGAAACCCAATAATACCCTCTGCTCTGATCTTGCATCAGGTGTAAGGGATAGAGCGAGACAAGGGACCAGGAAGAAAAAAAATCAAACAAAAGAAGGATGGGAGGAAAATGGGATGGATGAAAAAGAAGAAGCTAACAAAAAAAAGGTGAATGGTGCTTTCAGTTAAAGCTGGAGACGGTGGAGCCCAATTTCTCCTGTCCTTTCATCTGCCTTAATCTGGATACCTGTGCTGAGTGTGTGTGTGTGTGTGTGTAGTCCTATTAAAGCAAGAACTAGGGTCTATTCATCGTCTTAAGCACCTGCCCTTCTATCAACACATCAGAACTCAAACACTAAAGCATAAGACATGAGTCAGACGCTCAGCCAGACACGGTCTAAAATCTGATAAGGACCGTCCAGTGCAGTTCTTGGCTGTTAAGTCTGGTTTTAGAACAATTTAGTTCTGAACCACTCCCAAAACTAATCACCAAGTTGATGATATAGTAAACTTACCTTTCTTCAGGTCAATTTTCATCCTCTTTCCACCCTTTGTGTTTGTCACGTTTGATAGTGCAGGTAAACCGGGGTTCTTACTGGATACAGGGCTTTGGTTGGTCATTCTGGGTGTTGGGGATGAGCTCGTCACCGCGGCTGGAGGTGTAGGAGAAGCGCTCTCCAAGGACCTGAGCTCAGGTTGGGCTTGCAGTGACCGTGTGTGCAGCACAACTGGCTCTTGAGTCTTGGAAGGCATTTCTGGTTGCTTAATTTCAACTTTGGGGTTCTGTTTGAGTTCAGGCAGGGCGTTGGCTCGAGAGCGGGTCATCATCGGACTCATAGTTGCAGAAGGGGAGTCTTTGCCGTCGCCAGTAAAAAGCTGACCAATCAGACTCTTCTCATAGCGCGGCTTGTTGGCTGCGGGGAGGACCTCCAGACGAACTGAAGATGATGACATGGCTTGGCGGAACACCTCCTGAGACCTAAACAAGAAAAGTCGGGAAATAATTTTACCAAACTGAAGGAGGGTCAAACTGTCAAAATACATTTAAAAGTACCAAGAAAATTTAAAAAACTGAGTTTTGATTAAGAACAGGATAACTCTTCCAGATGGTCTGGGACATAGAAATCCATATCAGATGGCAAGACCTCATAGTAGGTCCCTCTTTCTAGCTTTAATAGACTACGATCAACACAAACATTCAGGAAGTTAAACACAACTATTCAACACCATCTCTGAGAAATGGGCTGAGGAAATAGAAAAAGCACAGTCCTGAGACAGGAAAGAACTGGGAAGAGAAAAATGACTCGTGAGGGAAGATGTGTTGAGATGTGAATGGATAGGGAACATATAGGACTTATCTAGTCAGGGCAAACTCAGTGATTGGGAAAGTCTGGGAACACAAGTTATACCAAAGACTTTTTTAGCTTGAAGTTTTAATTTTAGCTCCCAATCACATTTTTATCCAACGCCATCAATGGTGTTGCATCATTAAAACCCAAGAATCAATCAGACATTATGGTTGATCAAGCCCTCAATAACTAGAGATGTTATTTTTCATCTTAGGACAAACATTAAAGGGGAACAGATGAGGAAGAAAAGCATCTCTGTGGGTTTGAACTAAGGCTGAAACATTCTGGATAATAATCTGATTGTGAATTAATTCATGATTTTTTTCTCAAGAGGCTTTTCTCATATTTTTCAACTAACGGAAGCAAAAAAAATCTATGTAACTTGAACTTTTGAAAGTTTATGTATCTACATATTTGTCTACATATCATAGCAACAAGTTTGTCTACACATACATAAACACTCACCAGTAAAGACAAAATTTGGTATTTGAAGGTGCGATGCTTTGCAGCCAGGAGCAAAGGTATTAGCATCAATTGTGAAATTGTATTTGCAGAAAAGAAGCGTGTCTTTTGTGTTTAGAGTTTTTTACGTCTTGTCCATGCAGAGCTTCCGTAGATGCTAGCCAAAACTCAGTGGAGTTTAAGTCTCTTACGGTTTTCTAGCTTTACTACAATATCTGTCTGTACTTATTTGATTGATGGCAGTTTTTACTTTCATTAGACTCCAAATGTAATCATTTGGCACGTTACTAATTTGTAATTTGTAAGAATATAATCGGAGATATTTGCATTAGCATCCCTATGGGTATTTCTATGTTTATTGGCATAGTGCTAACCACTCACTGCCAGTCAAATCGCAGCCTTTGTGATTAGAAAATCTCCTTTTTTCACATCGCAATTTACTTGCATATGCAACTGGTCGTTCAGCCCTAGTTTGAACGCTTGTTTTTAGGTTTTTCTATGCTTGGTATAGACCAGATTTAAAGTGATCAACATATTGGAACTCACTAGGAGTTCTTTGGCAATGCATGGTGTACATTCCTCAACCACACTTGAGTTTCTGTCATATTCACCGACAGACAACTGGAGCTAGCTAGATCTCCTTCAGTTGCTTTAGTCTTCTTTCTTGTTGCTTTGGGTCTCAGATTTGGAGGGAAGAACGTACATTCGTGTATTTGGTTGTTCCTACAGAGACTCCAAGCTAACTTGGTCTTTCTTAGACCCCTTCACAATGGATGAAGTCTTCATCATTATGTGAAAAACATCTGCCTGAAGCTGGATGGTCTTTGTGAGGTCTTGGCAAAATCTCTTCAGTATCAAACATTTGATGCACATCAAGACTTTATCCCAACCACACCACCAAAGTTGTGCTAGAGTGTTGTGGCATCCCAGTAGAGCCCTGCATTGGGCCAGGGATCCAACCACTCCAGCATGACCCAACTGGAATACTTGGAGGAATAAGGAGGTTGGAGACAAATATTATGGGAGCATACATGAATGACAGAAATTACTCCTGTTCAAGGTTCAAGATCCCAGCATAGCTGCATCCCGTCCACTTCAGATGCCTTTTAAAGGAACTAGGGTAGGTTTCTGGAGCTATGTCTATGGTTTCCACTACAGGAACAAAGGCCAACACAGATTTCCAGGGAGAAACTTCCCACAAGAAAAGGCTCTGTCGATCGCATTTCTAACAGTCTTTGGGAATGCTAGAAAACTTGACCAATACGAAGTGTCTAATTTTCTATCTCCGTCCTGAAAGTTCTGGTCATTTCAAACGCGGCCACTCTTTACTATGATTGAAGAAGGGAAAACAACCCTGGTTCCTGAAGCAGACGCTCATCTTCAGGAAGGTAGTAACTTGAAATTCCCTAGAACCTTCTAGATCACTGGGGGTGGAGGGAGGCACTGCACTTTAAGGTTGGTTAAATAAAAATGGCATCACATAATCTGCAACAACCGCCAGGCTGAAATAAATGGTCACTGGTAATAAAAACACCAGGAAATTTAGTTTCTGGGTCTTAGGGCAGAAGTGGCAGCCCGGAGTGTGATGTAATAGAACCTGGTGGGTAAAGGAGAGGGTCTCTTTTATGTGAATTAAAGAAGACATTTGGCTGATAAAGACTAGCCCACATTTGCAGCCAACCTAGCCACATAGATGATGGAGGAGCAGAGAACCAAACCCAAACAACTAGACTCCACTGAGATCAGTTGTAGCACCTAAACACCAGCATTCCAGACTCCATGATGCTTACTGTGCAAAGGTTTTGTCCTGGAGCGGCACGTCGTTGATTTGAACGATACTTTCATCCACTTTGAAGAGATTCTCCTTCATGGTACGACTGTTTTCCTCAATGCCTTTTATGTTGAGGCCCAGAGTTCTGCGTTGACACAAATCAATGCACATAAACATCTTCTGGATTTCTTCTGGGTATACATGACCATCTGCTTATCCTTATGAATGTCTGAATGTGTGTGCGTGCGTGTGCGTGTGTGTGTGTGTGTGTGTGTGTGTGTGTGTGTGTGTGTGTGTGTGTGTGTGTGTGTGTGTGTGTGTTTACCGTCCACTGAGAGAGGAGACATAGGGGATCACATGGATGCCCAAGGGGCCCCGGTCACCTGGGAACTGGACTGTCCTCGTCAGAGTACTGCCAAGAAAATACACACCAAATCACACAAGGGGTGGACAAACAAACACGCAGATACAGTAGCACACACTCCCAGCCTTCTGCAAGCTCTTCAAAGCGCATTAGCATTTTCCTCCAGGCTACACAGATAGGGGTACAAATTAGCTTACAGGTAGTTCTGCCAAACATGATGATGAAGGTGCGTGCGTGCGAGTGTGCGAGTGTGTGTGTGTGTGTGTGTGTGTGTGTGTGTGTGTGTGTGTGTGTGTGTGTGTGTGTGTGTGTGTGTGTGCGTGTGCGCAAGTGGGACCCAGGTGGCTACTTCACCCCTTATCTATCTGCATCTCGACTACCCAATCTAGCTAGTGGACAAAAAGAAAAGAATAAGAGATAAAAGGGGGACAGATAGGGGTGCAGATCCAGATGAAACACAATGAGCTTCTCTAATAATCTCTGAAGAAAGCACAACTGTTATTGCCTTTAGCGGCAGAAAACAAGACACAACCACAGCAGATAAGCACAACGGTTTGCTTTTGATATCTGCTGGAGAGGAGGACAAGCCTGATGTCTGATCAACAAATGGACATTTTTACATACTTTCTGTCAGCAATGGAGCTCCATTAAACTGTGAACTGAATGTAGGATTAAATATAAACTAATGCTTTCTGATCTATTATCTTTGTATTGAGGTTACACGAGCTAAAGAAATCACTAAACTGTGTTAGTAGAGATGTTTTATATAAATATTCTTGGTTTGCTTGTTTTTAGCAGGCTAGTTGGAGGTTGGGTAGCATCAGACAGAAAACAGGCATACACAATTTAAATGGTGTGTTCAAGAGCTCTACTTTAACAGGATTAGTACGTTCTAGGGATGTGCATTGGTGAGATTCTGGCGATACGATATGTATACAGGGGAGATGATACGATATATTGCGATACATTCAGTCAGACGATATTAGCAATTTTTTTAGACTGAAATTATTGCAGGAAAATTCAATAAACAGTCCAAACTGATACGCAACATGTTTAACATGAGGTATCTGAACCATAATAGAGGGATTTACATTTTAATGGTGGAAACAAAACCCATTGCACTCTGCTGCCAACTAGTGGTCAGTGTTTGAAATGCACCAAAAGAAAAGAAAATACACAAATGTTTGCATGTAAATTCTTCCAAAAATTTGATACATGGCTTTTGAATATCGATGTAATATCGCAGGAAAAATATCACGATATTTTGCCATATCGATATGTTCTTACATCCCTAATACACTCCTCACAAACCAGCTGAAACCTGCACACATCTTTTGCCCTCTGATAGATAATCTAACATAATGGACAAGTGCCCATATTTACTATAATTGTCATTTTCTAAAATGTATCTTTTCTATTATTTCATGTAAGAATCTGAAGAGGGGTGTATTAATAAACTCACTTGCATCATCTATTTTTTTGCAGCCTATAATCTAAATGTAACAAAGCATAACTAACTGCCGATTTATCATTTATCCAACTATTGGTTCTAAACTGAGTTATATTTTGGTTAAATAGATGCAGTTTGGATTTGTTGATATAAGTTTTTGGATAAGCTCAAGTTTGACTCATTAAGAGTCTAAATGTTGTCTTTGTTTTCAGGGGAAGTATAATCATGTCCCAGAGGTGCATTAGGGTGCGACGGCAGCTCAAGGGGCAGGAGTCTGGCCTGTACCGTACCCGAAGGGATGCCGGTTCAAACCCAGGCTACTTGAATGCTGGTAGTGGTTGGAGTGGCTAGTGGAGCATAATTACGGCAGCTTCCCTTCAGCAAGTGTGCCCAGAAAAGTTGTGGCTACAATGCAGCTCATCACCACCAGCGTGTGAATGGATTACTGTGGTGTAAAGCACTTTGGAGTCCTCTGACTTAGAGAGGCATTATACAAGTGCGGGTCATTTACCATTTGTATTAGTTAGCTTGTAGTAACTATTTTAAAGCTGACTTTAAATGAATGTTCCAGCTCTTTTCTGTGAAAAGTCATCAATAATTACCATCTTCACCACTGAAGAACAGCTTCTGTGTAAAGAAATACAATTTACATAAGGAGTGATAAGCTAACGGCTAGTTTGGTGTGCAGCCAAGACCAAAGCAGATCGCTGTTTCATTCCAAAACCTTCAGTCTCTTATATTTAAAAGCAGCTCATTCAAAGCTTTTTTTTTTTGTTTTGTTTTTTTACAACTCCATTAACTTTTGGCAGAAATCACTAACTTCCTGCTGGACTTGACCCTCAGATGCTGAGGAAGTGATTCATTTAGCTGCTCCTAGTGATTTCTATGTAAATGAGTGTGAACTGAAAATGGTTTAAAGGTGAATAAAGTTGTGCTGCGTGAATAACTGGAGTCTTTAGAGAATTGGAGACTTTAGCTTTGGTCTTGGTAGTACTCATGCTAACCGTTAGCTTATCAGTGGGTATTCAGGAAGCATTTGAATTAGCCCATATAGAAAGGAAACTCCCTATTTTTGTAAGGCTTGAACTACTTTGTTATTAAAACACATTGTTTTAGTTCTAAATTATTTTCCGAGTCCTCAAACAATCATTGCTGGGGGAAAAAAAGAAAAGAAAAAAATTTAAAAGAAAAAAGAAAATAATTCAAAAGGAAAAAATATGAATTTTTTTAAAAGATAAAAAAAGGAAAAAAATATATACAAGAGAAAAAAAATACAAATAAACAATCATTGCTGGCCAAGTCTATTTAATGTATTTCTATATTTTCATCGTCGTAGTTTGTATATTTCTGAGGAAGCAGCGTCAGGCTTGATTGATTAACGTATTCGATTTCAAAATAGTCATTTCATATCTTTTTTAAACCTAAATTATCTGACTTGATCACACTTAAATGTTGGAAAAAACAGTTTTGGGGAAGTTTATGTTTAAAGCTGGATGCTGAAACAAGAAGCCAAACACCTGTGAAAGAGGGACTGTGGCTTACATTTAGCAGTAAGATATAACAACAGTGAGTAAAAGCACTGACCATGAGGTGGAATTTAACCTGCAGCTAAACAGGACCGATAGGGAACGTTTTCACTGCAGTGAGTGCAGCGTGCACAGTGTAAAACAGCCAGATGTGGGCTGAAAAGAGTCACAGCTGTCCTCTTTTCCACATTCTTACATGTTTAGAAGATAATGAAAAATACTGTAAAAAAATAAAGATATAAAAACTGGAGCAGATGGAGGCTAAAGTTTCCCTGCAGTTTTCTCAAAGCTTCAAATCAAACAAAAAGGAACTGATTGTGTGAGCAAAAAGTACATTTCTACGCAAAAGCTGTGAAGTCCAAGGTTTGCGAGTGTCCTACACAACCCCAAAGAGCAGCAGCAATCATTAGAACCGGGTCCTTTGTCACTGTCACCTTGCTCTCGTTAACCTCTGCCAGAGTCACACACATACTGTACACACACACACACACACACACACCTCATTTGCATTCTTATTTCTACATGTTGTGCATGCTCACAAACGCCATCAGTCACATTCCTGTAAATTGAAACCTCACAGATACACTCATGCATCCCATCTGCATCTATTAGGGAACACGGTTTCATTTAAATTACACGCGTGCCAAATCCATGATTTGCAGACTCGCACAAACAGTTTGAATTTAGTTTTCTAGCGGTGATAAACAATCAGCGGATCAGAACACGGCTAGTTCTGAATGATGTGATGGAAGCAACACACACACACACACACACACACACACACAGCTTCGGCCCATTTACATCAGTGTAAAAAAAACAAACGGCTGCACAAACAAGCTCATCAGAGGCAACCGTAGCTTGTTAGCGCCACATGCTAATATGCAGAAGAGCTTCGCTCACCCATTTTAGCATCCCGCTGACACAAACACAAACAAACACAGGCGTTCCACTGTGGGGTAGGCGGGGGAGATGAAAAGAGCAGGGAGACAGATGGAGCTCCCACTCTTGGTCGACTTCCTCCACGTCGACGAAGGCCGAGCGTCTGAGAGAACCTGCGGCCGAGACCCTGGAAAAAATGTGTCCTCGCTCGCTCACTCTGTTTTTTCTGCTGCAAACCATCTGTTATCGTGGCAAACCATCTTTGACAGCTTTGCCTCCATTGTTTCTCAGTGCTGTCAGGACACCACTGCACTGTAAAATGCTGAAAAATCACCATCTGTCACTGCAGCCAAGCCCTCCCTCCTGAGCACCTGTGATTCCCTCCAGTTGGTTTTAAGGCAACTCTTTTTTAATCAGCTGTGGAGGAAGTGCAAAGAATGATTTGTGATCTTGTTAGGGGCTCCAGGGACTGGACAGGTGACACCTTAAAGGTTGCCATGGATACAGCATGACTGACAGAAGGGGAAAGAAATAAAGGCTGCAGATACAAGTCCTACAGAGATGTGACGGGTCAAACAGTAATTTTAAACTAGAAACGGAGCGATTCAGAGGACTGAGGAGCGATGGCGATTTCAGATTTGTGTTCAGCGTTGACCTGTCGACACTGATTGGTCGCTATAGTTAGCTGTTTGTTTAATAATAATTCATATTTAAGACCAAGTTCACTTGTTTCTTTCAACACGTTAGAGGGTCTCGAGTATAAATGAATCCATTGTAAGTGGGAAAAAAGCTCTGGAGCTCCTGTTTCAGGGACCAGATGAGAGGGAAGCAAAACACAGCAGGATTTGGAATTTTATTTCCTGATATTCGGACATCTCGTCTCTGATTGGCTAACAGCAACACGACTCAACAAAAGACCACCTTTGTCCCCAAAGCCATTCTGCTCTTTAACTCCAGCAGATAAGATAAGACCATCCCCCGATGAACCCTCTCCTTGGGCTCTCCATATATTTAAATTTTATACAGACGACACATTAGTCACTTTATTCACTTACTGTGTTTTTTTGTGTGCATATTTTACTGTTTTTATCCATCTTCTTGCTGCTTTATTACTTCCTTATTGCCTATTTATTCAATGTTTGTATGTCCAACATCATGCTGCTCTGCTGTTATTTTTTTTTTGCCCCTCGGGGATAAATAAAGTTTTTCTGATTCTGATTCTGATTCAACCACTGACTTCCTTTGCTCTTCAATGTTAATGTTTTATCTAGACAAATAATACAAGACCGAAGGGGTTGCCATGTTGTGGAGTTGCTAATGCTAATTGGTTAGCTTCCACTAGCCGAGACGTGCCAACATGAGATATCTGTTCTTGCTAGCAGGAATTAGTGTTTGGAAATGTTGTTTGGAATCAGTTGTTCGTGCTTTTATCACATCTAGGCTCGACTATTCGAACACAATATTGCTGGGTGTCAATAAGTCAACCCTTGCCAGACTTCAACTCGTCCAAAACGCAGCGGCTAGTTTCCTCACACGTACTGACATGCGCCAGCACATAACTCCAGTTCTAAAATCCCTTCATTGGCTGCCCATCACTTTCAGGGTCCAATATAAAATATTGCTTTTTGTCTTCAAATCCCTCCGTGGACTTGCCCCCATGTACCTATCTGATCTTCTTGTGATATATACTCCCGGTCGCACACTCAGGTCCTCCAGCCTGTTGCTCCTTGAGGTACCAAAAGCGTGTTATAAATCATGCGGACAAAGAGCTTTCTCTGTTGCCGGTCCTACAATGTGGAACAAACTTCCAGCCGCAGTTCGACTGGCATCCTCCTTGGCAGTTTTTAAGTCTAAAGACACACTATTTTACCCTTGCTTTTAACAGTTAGCTGTTAGTTTGGTTTGTACTACTCTTATTTTATCATCCATTGTAAGGTTTTTATCTGAACCTTTTTTATTGGCTTGTTTCTTATTTGTTGACTGTATTTTATTGCTCTGTTTTATGTTTTTATCTCTGTTATTGTGCGACTGTTCAGCACTTTGGTCGGCCGTATGGCTGTGTTTTTAAAGTGCTATATAAATAAAGGTGGTATGATATGGTATGGTATGTTAGCTTACGAACTTGGAAGAATTGAACTTGCCTTGCAACGGTGCGTTTATGGACCCAAAAGAGAGACATAAAACTGATTTTTGAGATTCAGATTTGGTCAATTACCTGTTATTACCTGATATGTAATTCCATTTAGAAGTTCTGATTGTTCTCAGTTCTACAGAACAACCAGCATGGAAAGCTGCAGAAATGGAACGCAGCCCATTTGTGATTTCCCTACACATGAAAGCCAAAGTATCTGTCAAAAATCAGCCTATCATGGAACAACGAATGTCCAACTTCTCTGGACAAAAGCACAAGTTGCTTCTCAAATGTGAGATAATCTGCATTACAAAACTAAAGTTTGGGTTCAGGCTTCCTTCTCCCGTTAGTGTTCCATTTTAAAATCTAAATTAGGAGTAATCCGTTTTGCTGTAACACATTAGCTCGTGATATGATGAAACTCATTATTCCTGGCTTACATTTGAGCCCACAAAGAGTTTTCTTCCTGAACAGACACACTCGTGAGACGGTTTAATCCAGTCGGAATGTCCGGCTGTCAAACAAAGGCTAGACTACTAATCCCAGTCTCCATCACTGCTCCGGTTCCAGCTACGAGATGATCCATCTACTGACTAAACACAAACACATGCTCAAATCAACACCTACCTGAAATGAACCCGGTTCATCTTGGGTGAGGGGCTGTTGGTTTGAAGTCTATCCAGGGCTCCTCTCAGCGCGCTGCTCATTTCCTTTAGCGGGAAAACAGAAAAACAGGACTGTGCTAAGCACACGTGACGAAACAAGCTGTAATTAATCTAGACACAATAAAACAGAGGACATTAGGAGGTCTGTTACCAATTAACACACCAATCCAGTGCTGCCGTCAATCACCTAGGAAGGTCCTGGGGATAAAAAGCCCGCTGGATGCCTCTATCTACTGTATACCCATCCATCCACCACCGTCCCCCTCCCTCTATCCACCCCTGCCCTGTGTCAGCCGGGGCTCTATTTTTAAGCCAGATCTACAACCCTGGGGGCAAGAAAGTAAAAAGAGAAATGGGGGAAAAAGAAATGACAGAAGAGAGTTCTAACTGCTGCAACCCAAGAGCGGGATGGCGAAACTGTCCCAAATCAGTAGAGACACGAAGGGTGCAATTAGGACCTTCTGCCTCGTCACTTTCATTGTGTCACCACTGCTAATGACTAGAAAGCTCCCGCCCACCAGCCGACTCCTTAGCAACCCCCCTAGCACCACACCCAACTCCCCCATGGACCTGCCACACAATAAATCTACGCTTCATAGCCCACACACACATACACTTAATGGCAGTGTTACAGTCACCTATCACCTCTGCAGAGAGAAATCCCATGTTTATGGATTCAAAAGCGAATGCTGCCTGCACAAATAGTGACCCACTTATCCGAGCGCGTGAGATCACCATACAATGGAGCCTCATGCATGCGGGGGCAGGAAGAGGAGCTGGAGGCTTTTTGTTGCTGTGCATCTTTATCGTTAGCTAAAGCACATGGACTTGTCCCCCATCTGAGATGTGGAGGAGTGCAGGTGGATGCAGGTCACAGAAACACCGATGCACTTGTTGTGCATTTAGTTTCACAGGAAGTAGCGAACATGAGTGTGATCCTCGCTCATCTACAGGAACATGCATCGTGGAGACGAACCTGCCTCTTCTCGATGCATTAGGAGAAGGTGCATTCATGCTCAGTGTGAGTCTAATCTCTGGTTTATTGAGATGTGAAAACAGAAGCTTCTTAATCCCCGCTGTGCTTAGACAATCAATTCACCCCTCTCACTGCCTGGAACTTCAAATTACAGATGTGCTGATTCTGGATCTGAGGGCCAATATGGAGTTCTTATTCCAGTCTGACCCAAGAAGTACGATTTATTTAAAAGAAGTATAACTACCAGATTATGCATTGTTACATTTTCTGATGAGCTCAAACTCTGATTGGCAGATCCTGTTGAATTTTGGCAAATCCCAAATACAACCAGTAGTTTGGTACTGTAGAACAACCAAAGAAACACAGAAAGTGTGAAGACTCTTCAACTTCAACAAGAACATTCAGCCGCTTATCCGGAGTCGGGCTGCCTTTTAACGGACACCAGAAGGAGGGAGCACATTACTCCTGTTCTGGACCAGCTGCACTGGCTTTCGGTGTGCTACCGCATCCAGTTTAAAATTTTACTTCTTGTTTTTATGTCACTATCTTTATGCGCCTCTCTACTTGACTCAGCTGGTTCAGCCCTACGTACCTGAGGACGCGAGGAGAACGAGCATTCTCAATCTGTGCGCCTCGTCTCTGGAAATAATTCCCTCTAGCTGTGAGAATGGCCCACTCTCTCAGATTTCAAATCACACCTGAAGGCTCACTTTTATTCCTTGGATTTTACTTCAGCCTAGCTAGCATTTTACGATGTTTTTACAGTAGTTACTGTACTAAATTTATAACTTCTTCCCGTGTGTTGATTTTTATGCTCTTTACTGTGCAGCACTTTGGTTGGCCTCAGCCGTGTAGAAAAGTGCTTTATAAATAAAATTGAATGAATGGAACATTATAAATACATTAATAAATTAAGACCATAATCATTATCTCAATATCAAATATATTATAACCCTATTTCTAATGCTTTTTTCTGTATTACTTTTAACCCAAGAGAGAAAAACATTCCTGAAGCCAATACGTCTTTCAGTTTGATCAAATCCAAAGACACAAACAGCCTGCTTGACACTGTTAACAGTTCTGAGTGGATGGAAAATCCATAAAAATAAGTAACCTTTTTAATTATTAGTAAATGTACCAGCTCATATGATTATTTACCTTTGAAGGTGACCACTAAGAAGGGTCGTCATTCTCTGATTCTCTAAGGCGGGGAAGTCCAAACTTTTCAAGACGAGGGCCAAAATAGCCATGTTTGACGTCAATGGCGGGGGGGGGGGGGGGGGGGGGGGGGGGGCACAATAATGTCATTTACTTCATTTTAAAAACTCCAAACATTGTTCTATGGAAATGTTTTTATTTGTGGTATTCTAAATAAATCCAAAATAGGCTTAACTCATTCGCTGCCATCCATTTCCTGATTGGTAAAGCCCTTCGCTGCCAACATTTCTCACAGTTTTTACTGTTTTTTTAAGAGTCACAGAACGTTGAACACTAGGATGATGTTGCCGCCAAAACAACCAAAACAAAGTGGAGATTCACCTCTTACATCAGGAAGATTCCACATCCTTTCTTTCATAATCCGTTGTTGAATTGTGATCGGCAGAAGCTTTTCCGGTTCGCGCCTCACTTTTTTTTACAGCAGTGGCCCAAAACGATCTCCTAACACATGGATTTTCTGGTTCCTGATCACGTGACGTGTGACGTATGCGGATGAAGATCGGCTTTAGAGCTGAGATGTTTGTTCTCACGGTGCGGCGACTCGTTCCGATGCCAACACAGTAAAAAAAATTGGCAGTGAATGAGTTAAGTAAAAATCTGAACATAAACTTGTTAGAAAGTGGTGATCTATATCAACAGCCTCCTGAAGAGACAAAGTTCATCATTCTAAAATTTTAAGTGAGGGCCGCACAAAATCACTTGGAGGGCTGGAAATGGCTTCTGGGCCTCACTTTGGCCCGCCCTGCTCTAAGGTATTAGTCGTGTTTAAACCACTGGGCTTCTGGGAAACTTCCAGGGGGTCCAATGGCAAGGTCTTCTCAGCGAGTGATGTCACTGAGCAGCGTCAAAAGGCGTCCACAGACATTAATAACCTTAAAAGGTTTGATTTTGTCAGAGTACACATAATTTAACCCATTTGGGGGACCAGGACAGCAGCTGGATGATGTAAAACGCAGCACGTTTTTTTAGGGCATACTTTCGTGTTGATCGTACAACAGTATCGAATTATGGCACTGTGGGGGGATTCATCCATGCATTTTCAGCAGCTTATCCGGAGTCGGGTCGCTGGGGCAGCAGCCTAAGCCGAGACGCCCAGACTTCCCTCTCCCCAGCTACTTGGACCAGCTTTTCCATGGCAATCCCAAGATGTTTCCTGGCCAGACACATTTTTGATGTTAGGAGTTTAAAAACAAAGATTTTAAAGCAGCGTCAACAATGCTTATTTTATTTTCATTCCATTCTGTTGCACCAGCAACTCTTCTAATTTTACAAAGGCCAGTTGTTTGGCAACATCTGCAGATGTAATTTCCTACCGTGTTACAACCAACCAGCATGAGTTCACCACAAGTCCCACTCAGCGCTTCTACTGGGCCAGTCACAGTACTGGTAATCCGCTGGTTCCTTAAATCATCTTGAAAATGGTCCTTGTAAGCCTGCCTGGTGGCATAGAACACGCCCACAGCTGTGACGGTTCAGTAAAATTACAGGGAAGCTCTGATTGTTGACAACGGAGATTAAAAAGGCTTTATCAAAAATCAACACTTGGAAAATGATGACACAGATCACATCAATGTTAACAAAACTTTTGGAAAAACATTTTGATACGCTAATGACGCTAAAATATGTGTTCTAGCTTTAGATTTGATTAAAATGATGTAGAAATGAAAACTTCTATATACGTCTCTGCTTCCTGCAAACTCAGAGCTCGGTTTCTCTTCTTAGTGTGACATTGTAAGTCCTTTTCTTCCACCTCAGCTCCTTTCATGACCTTCAAGTTCAGATGCGACTCTCAAGGAGAAATGTCTCAAAACGGTGATAAATCTAACCACTAAAAGCCCTGTTTCTTCATTTTAAACTCCAGCATTTAAAGAGATTTGAATCCAACGGGATCTATGGCTCCGGCTTGAACGCTCACATAATTTGTGAAACCTGCCTGAAAACCTATCTAAGCACGACTAACAGGTTGTCTGCTCTGTTATTTTGCTGCATGCTGTCATCCACGCTTCTGGATGTTGGCTGCTGTTTGTTGTCTGGGGTATGTTCGAGTGACACAAAGGTGTGCAGACATGTGAGAGATGACATGTTTGTGACGGTGTGTGTGTGTGTGTGAGAGAGAGGGGTTGCCAGACAGATGAGTAATGAGGTGTGTGTCTCCTTTTGTGTATTTCCTGCAGTCATCAACGACATGTCAGCCAGCTGGGAAATAGCATGAGTGTGTGTTTAGCTGTGAGGCAGGATCACAGCTTATGTGGAGTCATCCATGTTTGCTGACCTCCATCACCGTTGACTAAATGGCTGCTGTGTGGCTTGCAAGAATAGAGTGCAAATGTAGTGTAGTATAAAAATACTTAACTCGTCATTTGCAGTTTTTTACTGTGTGGGCGTCGGAACGGGGGCTGCACAGTGGCGCAGTGGTTCTGGGTTTGCTTCCCAGCCTGGGATCTTTCTGCATGGAGTTTGCATTAGGGCTGCTCAATTAATCGAATTTTAATCACGATTACGATCTGAGTTTTGAACGATTATAAAAAACTAAACAAGCCGATTATTTGTTATGAGTTGCAAATGAAGCGCTCCTCCCACAGTGCTGCCAACTTAGCGACTTTGACGCTATTTCCAACAGCTTTTCAGACCCCCTTCTTGACTTTTAACATCCTAAAAGTACCTAGCAAACATCTCAGAAACATCTCTGGTAACCCTTAGCTACTTTCTGGATAACTGTCGTCGACGTTTCCTGCAGGTTAG